GTATAACCACTAAATAACTACCACCCGCGTACCAACAAATGAAACTTCTCCCAATAATACCTTACCAACCAACAGCTACTTCACCAACCACGTTTGCGTGTCCAATTTCTCACCAACAAAAACGCCAACTCTACCAACTAATTTTCTGCAATGAAATTAACCAACTCGACCAACTAATTTTCTACAATAAAAATAACTAACTCTACCAACCAATTTTCTACAATAAAATTAACCAACTCTACCAACCAATTTTCTACAATGAAATTAACCAACTCTACCAACGAATTTTCTACAATAAAATTAACCAACTCTACCAATTAATTTTCTACAATGCAATTAACCGACTCTACCAACTAATTTTCTACAATAAAAATAAACTTTCTTTCTGTCTGACGAGACCGGACTTTATTTACCCGACGCGCCGTCCTACCCCGCAGCAATAATATATATAAATGATGCGGCGCTCAACATCTACCCTTGAACCGTGACATTATATATATGATATTGGATTGGATTAAAACTGTCAGAAATGCAATTATTTATATATATTTATTGTTATAATACTCGCTGTCGAAACCGATCCGACAAGTACCACGACGTCTTCCTCTAGCAAAACAAACAGAAGTAAAAGAAATGATAACGACTATGCAGAATCAAGGCGTCATCGAACCGTCATCAAGTCCCTGGATTTCGCCAGTTGTTTTGGTAAAGAAGAAAGGACGTTCTTCAAAGCTCCAGCGAGGGTGGGAAGGACCTTATCAAGTCATCACCCGCTTTAATGACGTCGTCTACCGTATTCAGGAATATCGGAAGCCGAGAGGAAGAATGAAGATCGTTCATTTGGATAGACTGGCTCCGTACCATGCGGACGGATTTTAACCCGTCGCATCGTAAATCGGTTACGACAGCGAGTATTATAACAATATATATTTCGCAAAAAGTGAAGTGCAAATCTTAAATTAAAATAAACTCTAGTTCCAGTTATAAACGATTTACTATAATAAATTTTCCAATAAATTTTTTGTTTTTTCATAAACAATAAACCTGCGATATTTAAAATAAGTGGCGCTAAGTAAACGCTTTAAAACATCTGATTTTAAACAAAATCTTGAATATGTTTTGAAACTCTTGTACCAAAGCAACACAAATTTATTTTTAGGGTTTCATCTACCATGTTTTTAAAAACTTTGTTGTTAAAAAATTTTATTATAAACTTGCAATATAAATTGATTGTTGGAACAAAAATAGTCCGTATATATTTAATTTAATTTTTCATTGTTGTTCAAAAGTCCTAATTAAACTTTTTAATATGATAATTTTTTATGATTCGTATATATTTGTTTGTTGCTAAAGATTTTTATCTTAAACTCTGAAAACTATTTAAAAAATCAAGAAGGATGGACTTGTAAGCAATAAATATAAAAAAATATTTTTCGATAAAAACTTCATGAAAAATGTAGTAATATTCAAGTGAGATTATTGCGTAGAGTATCATCGTTAATTATATGATTACGGTTACACATTACTAAATCGTACAATAGATACAAACTTAACATAAATTTTACTACAATGGGAAATTAAATATAAATAGATTAATTTAACACTCAAAAAATTAAAAGTTAAAAATTATTGGAAAACTGGAATGCAACAACAACTGTAGGGTACTACGATTCATTAAGATAATGCGTTAAAGATAAATCCGTACTCCGGAAAACGAAATGAAATAATAGCCACGATATTAAATTAGTGACCTATCTGGTAGTTTTTTATATCTATGTCTAAAACATTGGTAGTATTGGCGGCATACTACTGACGTTTGCTGTTGTCATCCATCTTTGGATGTCCATTCTTTGTTGTCAGGTAAAAAATATCCGAGTGAAAAATTCCGACTCCGGCTACTCGTATAGTGAAATGTCTAACACTGAGAAACTATTAAAAACATAAAAAAATAAGTAAAGATGAAGTAAAAATTTTAAACTCTAGACATGTTTGCATTTTATATTAAGCAGAAAAGAACGTACATAGAATAGAATGTGATGTATAATAAATTAAGTTAGCATACCAATAGTCATCCATAGTTTGCTATCTTCGCTCACAAAACAGGTAATGATTGTTTTTTAACTTTGGTTTGCCGTTCACATGTTCGATACGCGAGGTCGTTTTACTCGCTAGTTGTTTACAGTCGCGTTACGTGACATCAAGTTGCGTCAAGTTATGTCAAATTACAAACACACACACACATGTTGTAAATTATTAAACTTCGCCTGTATACGTACATCACGTTACTTACATTACATTACGATTACATCACAGTAAGAAACAACTATATTACACATCGCATAATTATAATTGATAATAGTAATTATTTATTAAAAACATACAAGTACATATTCATATTTTGAGACATTGATTTACCTTTAATCAATGACATGATAACATTACCACTTTTCTTTACTTAGCGGTTTCAACCTGAAACCTCATTCTATTGCATTTTAATTTATTATTTTTATTATTTATTTTATATAGTATACAACACATTTGATTACATCACACCACAAAACATTACAGTATATTTCATCACACTATAAAATATATGGTACATTTAATATTTAATTAAATATTATCACATTACATTTATCAACAACACATAACATACATCGCCAATACATTTCATTTTATTACATTTATTAACTAATATCACAATACTCAGCAATAATTCACATTGAATTACCTTCGCTACATCACGATGCTACAAAATGCATTTCTCTTGTTCTTCGCTGTATTTTGGATGGCCATGTACATCTTAGATGCTGTTGTTAAGGTGATTTTTTTCAGTAATTTTTCAATTCACTTATTTCTAATTTTTTAATTAACTTTTTTGAAAATATGTGTAAAATAGGCTTCAAGATATGGTTTAAAATATGCTGAATTTCTGGGCAAACATGGTGTTACAATATCAACAGCACAGGTAGTTTTTGAATTTACTTCTTATAGATTGAAATACTTGAAAATTAATATTTTTATATTATTTTAAAATTTTCAGATTGGGTGGTTTACAACATACTTCAATCGCTTTTTCATAAAGATTGGCTCAAAACAGTCAACTTTCTTTAAAATCTGGTTCAGTATTGGTGTTGTATTTTCCCTGGTGCTCCTCATTATGTCAATGTTTTTGTTGCTGATGATAATTTTCAACACCTTCACTGGTTATTCAGTTGAGCAACAAATCCTCACTCCTGTGGTCAGTTTAGATTGACGATCAACTTAACAATTATCTTTTTTAAAATAAATTAAGTCTTAGTTCTTTCATTTTAGTAAAACTAAATTCATATTTTTGTAATTCAACATTTACTCTGATAGTGTATACTGTATAGGGATTATTTAACATTTTTTTAAAATAATTTTCAGATGCCAGGAATTAATCTGCCAATGAACCAGGTGTGGTTCTACTTGATCACCCTGCTTGTTTGTGGTGTTCTGCACGAGGTAGGACACGCCCTTGCAGCTGTGGGGTTAGAAGTTTTAACATGCTACAAATCAACAAAATTATTTTCGATATTATTGAACTTGTAATATCATTAGTTGTTTTTCTAGTATGAAATGCTTTATAAGTTTGTTATTTATGTAAAACAAAATCACTCGCTGGAGGCTGGAGTTTAACTTGTAACTTTTGAGACATTGGTTGGTTGGCTGATTAGTTGGTTGGTTGTTTGTTTGGTTGGTTAGCTGTTTGATTTCTTAAACATGTAGCAAAGAACTCTAACCTCTGGTTCTAATAAAAATGTTCTCCCACCATCTTGAACTGGAATTTACTATCTGGCATTTAAAAGATTTACAGAAAATGTTTACAATGTGATGAACAAAATGAACAGGAAACCAATGAGGTGGAGTAATCAGAAAAAGCAGTAAACAATATTTGTCAGTGTATTAGAGCAAACTAGTTTTTATGTTATTTGTAAAGTTACCAAATATTTAAAATCAAAATATTGGAAATAAAAATATTTGAAATAAAGATATTTGAAATCTAGTGATAAGGTTCATTTTTTTCTAAATTGTTTCCTGGCTCCACCCATCTCATCAGGCATCTCACCTTCAACAAATAATCCCATGTTTCTTGTTTGATATCAAAAAGGGCAGTTTAATCTGATTTCTTTTGAATAAACAATTGCTTTGTCAAATTTTTTTTTTTTTAATAGTGCCTATTCAAATTCTCCTGCAGAGAAGACATACGGGTGAATGGATTCGGCATATTCCTTCTGCTCTTGTATCCAGGTGCGTACGTGGATGTCTGTCCTCACCATGTGCAGTCCATTTCAGCCATGAGGCAGCTGAGGATTTACTGTGCTGGCGTCTGGCACAACATCGTCATCGTTTTGCTGGCAGTTGCCTTCCTCATATGCTTCCCAACATTCATATCTCTCTTCTATTATTCAGGACGGGGTGTTCTGGTGACTCGCGTGAATTCGGTAGGTTCATCTGTTTGATGAGTTGTTGGTGCTCTACAAGTTGTGGCTTGGTTGTATGTTGTGCTGAATTAATGCTCTGTTGTGTTGAATTAATGCTCTGATGTGGCTTTTTCATGATTAATATTGTTTTAGCTAACTTGTGGTGAAAAATAGCATGAAACATATCTCAGTTTGTGTCTTCGTAGTGTAATATATTTTGTGTAGTGTATGTTTGGATATGTTAAGTTATGTTGGATGCATGTTTCGAGTGCATGGATATAAGTGAATGTTTTGGAGTGCATGCATCTTCTTGGCTGATATGTTCTTTTTATAGAATTTTGTGAGGTACACAATTTTCTTAATGGGGTTGTTTGCAGGAGTTGAATTATTTAAGAAATGAGAATTTCCAAAAGTTTGTTTTTTTCTGCTGTTTCAATTATTGTGGCCCCAGGGTTGATAGAAGTTATCGACACTACTCTGCCTGCAGGACTCTCCGATATCAGGTGTCAGTGGTGTTCAAGTTAGTGACGTCATAGTTCAGCTGGATGATTGTCATGTCATGAACATGAACCAATGGATGAATTGCATTACCACTGTTACAAAATCAACTATGTCTGGATATTGTGTTCAGAAAGAAATCTTTCATGATTTCATTGTTAATGTTTCAAACAAAACTGATGCTGACCAGTTGGAAGGTTTGTAAGCTTCATTTTTTATCTAAGACAAACATTTGAATAACATTGGTGAACAGTTCATTAATTTTGATCGATGCAATTGTAATGCAGATTGCTGTAGAGATAATTCTGATGGCTTGTTGTGTTTTCGCCACAATCATTCCAACAATAAGGTTTGAACACTTTCATCATTTCCATGTTTTCAAATTACTTAATTTTGTATTTCTGATAATGAATGCAAGCATGCATCTGTTAAAATGAATCAATTATCAGTTCGGATGCCTGAGAGCAAGGAACGTAGTGGAAGGCAGAAGATGTCAACAGGATGAGGAATGTCGCACTTCCAGCCATGATGATAAACACTTCGGTGACAGAAATTTTAATTCGGACGATGACAACGACATAAATCATATTAATATTAACTTTGCTGGGTCAAAAAATGTTACTCGGAATCATTTGAAAAGAATGAGTGCCATTTGCATTCATCCGCACGTTGATAACGTCACGTGGCTGGTTAAGGTGATTTACGATGATGCCAACAACAAACAACCACTCCTCTTCCTCGGCCACCCTTACGACCTCTTCTACTCATGTGCGTTGCTCCATCAAAAATAACCTGTCGGCATAATTTCTATTTTACATGTTAAATAATTTTTGAATTTGTGGAGTTTTTATTATACTTGAACGGCGAGATGGCCCAGTGGTCAAGGTCGCTTGGTGCTTTTTTGCAGTGACCGGGTTCGAATATGACAAAAACTCCCCACCTACCACACGTTTCATGTGATGTGATACGTCGTTTAGCACACATTCATATAGGATGTTTGTGCGTGTTGTTGATTTCTCTGAACTTATGAAGGTTGTAAGACACCTTTGATTTTTTTAACCTTTGAGCTATGATGTATATGTAAACAATTTCACACAATCATTCGAAGTGTCTGTGAGTGATTACCAGCCCAAGTGGAACTACCTCCCGCTCCACCTCCCATACATCTTGGAAACATTCTGCAAGTTTGTCTTCATTATTCGTTGCTGCATCATCAGGTGTTGGTGTTGTTGATCACGCACGCAAACCACACACACACACACACACACACACCACACACACATATACACACACACACACACATATATATATATATATATATTCTATTAATTCTACCGAATATTGTAAAAATTATGGTCTATTACCAACATATATATATATTTTTTCAAAGTTTTTATTCTTAATTAACAACATATCAAATAAGTGAATAAAAGTTATGAAGTTGAATATGTGGAGACCGAATAAGACTGTTTGTCTTGTGGTGGCCACCGCATGTAGATATATGAATAGTTAATGGAATAAAATAATAAAAATAACTGAAGCAGAAAGATAATTGAAGATAAATAAGTAAATGTTCGTGTCATACATATATAGACATATAACTATGTAAATGTTCGCTCAGTACGTATATAAACACATAAATGTTTAACCATTCATAAAGACCATTCATCCGCATCATTTGTTCTAACGTATACTTAATATAGTATTAGGTGGTGGAGTCGAGATCCAGTGTCAATAAAAAAGCACGGAATTTTGACTTGAAATGTTGTAGGTTTATGATGGCTCTTAGATGGGGAGGTACAAGTTCTGTCCAAATTTTAGGACCTGCTATTTTTATGCTTGTCAGGATTAATTTGAGGCGAGTTTTGTAGATATAGAAGAGAGAAGAGAAGTGTCTAGTGGTTGTAAATTAGACGGAGTTACTTAATGTGTAGAAGTTGATAAAGTGAGGTGGGAGAAGATTGTTGATAAATTTAAAAACGAATAAAGCAGAGTAGTAAAGACAGATGAAGTTAAGTGGTAAAATTTTTTTGCTAGGAAGAAGGGTTTAGTATGGGAATCGGGTTTGAGGTTAAAAATTAAACGTATTGATCTTTTTTGGGAGAGTATTAGGTTATTCAGGTGGCTTTTTGGACTATTTCCCCATAGTGTGATGCAGTAGGTTAGATAAGGGTATATGAATGTGTAATAAAGCGTGTGAAGGGCAGAAAGAGAGAGTTTATATTTGATTTTGTAGAAGATGCCTGTGAGTTTGTTAATTTTGTCTGAGGTAGTTTGTAGGTGAGAATTCCATGAAAGATTTTCTGTGATGGTGATTCCTAGAAATTTGGTTGACAGGGTGCGGTTTATAGGAACGCCATTAATTAATTGGTTTAGGTTAGGAGCTTGGTTGGTGAGTATTTTTGGGCCAAAAATAATGTATGCACATTTCGAATAATTTATGATTAGTTTGTTATTGGATAACCAGTTAGAGTATTTTTGGATTTCAAGATTGATAAGTTCAGAGCAATCTGGTAGGTTGTTGGAAGTAAAAAGAAGGTTGGTGTCGTCTGCGAACAGTACGCATTTGGTTGAAGGCGAAATGTTGCAGAGGCCATTTATGTAGATAGAAAATAGAAGGGGTCCTAGTATGGATCCTTGTGGTACCCCGTGATGAATAGGAGCGTGCTTTGAATTGATGTTGTCCATGGAAACATATTGTGTCCGTGATGAAAGATAGCTTCTCATCCAGTTGTGAGCTGTGCCTCTTACTCCGTAATGATGTAGTTTGGATAGGAGTATTTTGCGATCGATGACATCGAAGGCTTTGGATAAGTCCGGGAATATGCCAATAGAAAGATTTTTGTTATTCATTTCATTTAGTATATGCTGAGTGAAGTCAAGAATAGAAAGCTCAGTTGAGTGGTTGGGTCTGAATTCGTATTGGTTGTTGCAGATAGTATTGTTGGAGCAGAAGAAATTAGAGAGTCTTTTAAAGAAAAGTTTTTCAAGAATTTTTGACAGCAGGGAAAGAATGGAGATGGGTCTGTAGTTGTTAATGTCATCTTTGTTTCCTTTCTTGAATACCGGTATGATTTTGGATATTTTAAATGAGTCAGGAAAGATTCCAGTGCTTAGTGATAAGTTGAAGATATGATTAAGTGTGATATGATAGAGAAAATTATGCTTTTGATAAGGAACATGTTGAGTCCATCGTCTGCATAGCTCTTTTTGTTTTTCAAGATATTAACAGTAGTTAAAATTTCTTGTTCAGTAACAGGATATAGACAAATGGAATGGGGTGTGGATGGGCTCATAAAATCTGTAGGACTACCATAGCTGGGAGGTTGGTTTGAGAGTAGTTGGCTAGCGATGTTTGCAAAGTGGGTACTGAGAAGGTCACAAATTTCTTGTTTATTTTCAATTGCTTGGTTGTTGATAGTTAGTTTGGTGATTGATGAGTTTAGAGGTTGCTTGTTCAGAATTTCTTTGATAGTGTTCCATTTTTGTCCAACATTGTTATGTGCGTCTTCAAGTTTGTTAGAGAAGTAGTCTCGTTCAGTTTTCGTTTAATAGATGTGAACTTGTTTCTGAAGCTTTTGTAGGTGGCAATGTTGCGGGTGGTTGGATATTTAAGGCTTATGATGTATAGTTTGTTTTTCTTTTTTGCAAGGCTTAGAATGTTGTCATTGATTCAGCATTTTTTGTTTTTGACAGGACGGAGGGGGGCAAAAGTGTCTAGAGAGTGAGTTAGGATAGTATTTAAAACAGAGCAGCAGTCGTTTACATTTTTTAGAGAAGTCAAAGAATTCCAGTTGTGGTTCGATAAGAAATTGTTGATGTTGTTTATAGATTCTTCAGTTAGGTTTCTGAAGTGCTTAATAGGGGCATGGTTTGAGTTTTCTGATTTGGAAGCGATGGCGAATATAGGGAAATGGTCAGATATGTCAGACAGTATTATTCCAGATAAGTGAGGAGTTAGGTTGTTAGTAAAGATATTGTCGATGAGTGAGCAAGAAGAAGTTGAGGTGCGAGTAGAGGAGGTTATAAGAGGTAAGAAGTTGTATGATGATAGTAGGTTAGAGAAGTCAGCAACGACGTGGTCACTGTTGAGTTTATTGAAGTCAAGGTTAAAGTCGCCAATTAAGTAGCTCTTTATGTGTGGCTTGAATGTGGGTAAAATAAGTTCGAGCTTTTGGATTAAGATATTAGGGTCAGTGTTGGGGGTTCTATATACTGCTAAAATATTTACTTGTGTGTTGTTTAATTTTAAATTGACACCAAGAAGGTCAATAATGGTATCGTTCAGAAGCAAATTGTTTATCATAGAAAATTCAATGCCTGATCTGATGAAGATTCCGACTCCACCACCTATTCTGTCAGACCTATTTTTAAAAACAAAATTGTAATCATTCATACGAACTAGTTTAGCGGTTTCGTCATTCAGCCATGTCTCTGATATAATAATAATGGAAAAAATAAGATAAAAATTTATTTAAAATTAAAATGTCAGAAATTTTATTTAAAAGACTTCTGCCGTTTAAGTGAAGTAGAGGTAGAGGGTGATCATGATTGTTGATGTACTTGGCTTCTAGAATGTTGAGTAGATCTCTTGTGGTGTAGTAGGATGACTGTCTGGTGAATGAATCTAGGAGGTTCTTTGTGGGGTCGATGTGGGTGTTGTATGCGTTAAAGTGTTGATCATCTTCGTCGTTGTTTGATGGTTAAGGATGTTGTTGGATAGAATTGATTGTGGAATAAGTATTGTTAACAGCCATTGTCGTGATTTATTGATGTCGCAGAATTGACATCGGAGGGAGAACCCATCGTCGATGAGGCTTGTTGTTTATGTGGTTCGACCAGCTGGGAAGGGCCCATCGTGACTGGCTGAGTGGATTCTTCCGAAGAAGTTAAAATGGAAGCTACCTCAACTGTGTTTTCTACATGCCGATGTGAATTGACCAGCGATGGTGTATTAACATTTGGTAGGTCGACAGGATGATGATTTGGCAGTGAAGTTGTAGTGGGTTTTATCGTGTGCTGTGGTCGAGCATGAAACCACCAAGGGTGAATTTCCACGCCAATAGGCCAATTTTTAGGATTGGTAAAAATCATCTCCTGATGTTTAAAAATAGTTATGCGGAATTTTGTTGATGGATCACGGTTGAAGGTTGAGTACGAGTGGGAGAGAATTTAAAGACTGGTACGCATTCTGCTGCGGTCAGTCCAATAGTTTCCAGATGTTCTAGAATCTCTTCTTTGACGCAGCTTTTCAATTTACCTACCCCAAAAACAATTTTTTTGGGAGGCAAAGGAGCTTCAGATAACTTGAAGGACCCAGGTTGTTTGGAACCTACAGTAATTGGAGAGTATTTTCTCTTTTTTTTTTTGAAGTAACAGTGCTCCAAGAGCCCTCGTGGCCACTGGAATTAGAGTTGTTTTTATTGATGTTATTGTTAGGAATTGAAAGTGAAGAACGAGCAGGAGCAGCTACAACGTTGAGATCCACCAGCGATTGGGTTCCCTGCTTCAAGATTTCATCAGATTGTGGTGTGCTGATTTCGGACGAAGCCGGATGAACGATCTTAGGAGATGATGCATCCGAGCTGTACGAAGCGTGTTTTTGTCCTGCTGCTACCGAGTAGCTTTTAACATTGTTTACGTTGATGTTGTTGGTATTATTAAGTTCACTTTTATGAACTCGAGGGGCTGCGTTCAGCATGCTGCATAGATAAAGTTGCTGATTGTGCAGCATATTGCATATGTCGCTTTTGATTTCATTGAAGTTAAATTTAAGAATAGAGTCATTATTAGGTACCCGTAAGTTAGAGCTAACATAGGTAGGAAGCTCTGTTGATAAATTTTTTTCGCAGACTAGCCCTAAATAGCGAATGGTTTCGCGTAGTTTGTCTCTTTTGTCTTTCTTTTTAGAACCACGTGGTATATCGAAATTAACATCAATCTTTAGGAGACTGACGTCGTGTTTGATCAGTTTGAGGGCAGCCGAGATTTCTTCCGAGCTGTAGAAGTCGGACGCATTGTTAATAAATATATCATTATTCATAAACTCGTAATTATTTGATAAGTAGCATAAAACTTCGTTAATCGTTAAATTCTGTTTACACGCCATGATACCGGATATATATATATATATATATATATATATATATATATATCCGGTATCATGGCGTGTTAACAGAATTATATATATATATATATATATATATATATATATATATATAATCAAAGTTCTGAGTAAGGCATATAAGCGAGAAATGAAATGTTGTCCACAGGTACTTGATATCACTATCAGGAGCACTGGCCATCATGAACGTCATCCCGTGTTACGCATTGGACGGTCAGTGGATCACGCAGGCCACGTACAATCTCCTCCTCCCCCACCTGACCAGCAACAAATTCATCCGAGACGTTACCTACACGGGCACCATCATGTTCGGGACCGCTCTCATCCTCGTCAACGTCGCCATTGCATTCTGCACTCTCTTCCTGAGGTGACGACGTTCCGAAGATGTCCTTCTGTTAGTGTTTGAGCGTGTCGAGGTAGTGGTCTTGATGTCATAAGTTGGTTATCTCGACGTCACATTCGGTGGTCTTGATGTCATGTTGTGGTGATCTTGATGCTATAGTGTGGTGTTTTTGACGTCATTAGGTTGTCCTCATGATATTATAATGGAATGTCCTTGATGTCACAACCGTCATGATCTAGATGACGTGCTGTGATAATATTAATATTTTCATGAGCTTAACGTCCTAATGGGATGATCTTCATGCCACAGTATCGCGATCTCGACGTCATATTGTCGGTTGTTTGGTGTTTAAAATAATTGTTGAAGAAATGCCAGCTTGAAAGTCTTCCGTCACAGTTGAAGTTATAAATGAACGTTGAAATTACTTCACAAACAGTTTCATTTAAACGGTTTCACCAGTTATTTATAGACAACATAGTATTATTAATATTTATTTGTATCGTGATTTGAAGCATGATTATCTTAATAAAAATTCTTACAACTGTCATAATATCAGAACAATATTTTTTATTGTAAATGTTTTTAACAAATTGTCATTATTTTTATAATTTATAAAAATTTGCACTAAAAATGTAAATTAAACGACAGAACTGAGTGGAATTAATATTGTAGCGCAATAAATCACATGAACTAGCATCCGACACAAATGTTCACAACTGACCAGAGAGTTCATGCACCGATGCAAATCAGACAGGAACCCTATCGAAAGTTCAGTGAAAAAATAATTCCACACCACAAATACTGACTTGATTCTCGCCCAATGCTGAGACAGACGTTGAATCATTTAGGTGCGCCACAATTTTAATGTCCTCAACGTTGAGTACAACACGGTAAGGCACCATTCTAAAGTTAGCCGTGGTTCTTTTCAGTAGTGTTGATGCACACAAATACTTTAATAGCACTATTTTTTCATCACAGTAACTATGTACCGATTTTATCAATATCACATTAGTTCAAGTATATTTAAACAATTTTATTTATTGATTTTAAACAAAAGGTGCGTGCTGTTTGTATTTAATGAATACATGGTAGGCCCTTGGGATAGAGCAAGACGATAAATAAAAAATATACATGTTTTCCTATATCCAATGTTTAAAACTAACACTAAAGTAAATTACCTTCAAAAAGTCTATTAAACTCAAGCTATACATAGCTTTGGCATTTTTTTTAAATTGCGAAATACTCTTATTATATTAATTTCTTTTTAAATATAAAAATCTTTAAAAAGTAACAATTTGATCGATTAAGCAGCTCAGCCATAAAAATCTATAAAATGGAATGAAAATGGAATTTCTAAAGTGCAGTTCTAAAATGCTCACCAGACAAGAACATTGTTAAATTATAAAAATAATAAAGAATGCACTTGAAGGTGGTCGTCAGCAGTTCACAAACATTTTCCACTCAAGACAAAAAATGGCTACAGTTTTGCATCTACAAGAATTTTTAACATCAAGCAAAAAATGCAAAACATCTGTGATATTATAAAAGCATTTATGTTTCATTTTCGCCAATATAACACGAACGAAATTAACTAAAGTGGGAAAAATGTTGAAAAACATGAAACTTTACACTAATATAGAGAAACGATACAGCTAGTTTAAAATAAGTATGCATAGAAGTACGAATAGATTTAACATGACAATTTGTAATGCAAAGTCGAAAATGTTTTAAAGTGACTAATAAAGAACAAAGGTACAAATTTTGGTCAAAGTGTCGCCCAAATACTCTGGTCGCCACCTCACTGAGATTTCTTCCTACTTCTTTTATATGACATATCGTTTCCATCGAGTATTTCTTGGTAAGAACAATTGACGTGTATCTGGATGTTGTCTACTGTAATCAGAGTGGACTGCTTGTGTTCCGGTTTAGCTGAAATAAATGATTTCTTATTCAATTTTATCGAACAATTTATTGAAAATATTAGGAAAAAAGAGCGACGACAGAATCATAAATCATTTGAAACTGAATAAGTTTTCTTACCAGGTAATATTGCTTCAAGAGGAAAATCAACTTTGGCCAAATGGCTGAAAAAGCCCGACTTAATAGATATGAAGAGAAGGGACTCCTTCTTCTCCCCACAACGCTCATCTACCTGCATGCACAAGATTTGCTTGTTGAATACTTGAATGTATACCATAATTTCATTTTATGTACGTTTTTCATTTCCCAGATATACATTAAATGTATTGGAACAAAACTAACCGTAAATTTGAAGTTCATAACCATAGGATCAGAAGGAATAAACTGGGATGATTTCGCCAACAGTTTTTTCCTTTGTCCACCTTGGACACTGGATATTTTAAAAACAAATTGTGTTCAATTCTTTGTTTTAGATTTTGGTCGTTCAATGTTAAAAGTGAAAACATAAAGCAGCAATAAAAATAATAAAAATAACTTGTCATTGTAAATGCATCCAATGGTTAGTAAATTGATAAAAAATTAATTCGAATAAGTTTGACCTTTTGAGTTTGACGACACATTGCAGATGTTGTGAAACGGAAGGCAGACCCTCAATTAGATATATTTCAAAAGTGATGCCTTTGTACAGACTACTTGATATAGTAGGCAGTTCTGTAACACATCAGAAGGGAAAAATATTTTAACCCTCATACCAAGCTTTTGAGGCTAACAAAAACAATAATGAATGCTATACATTGACGCAAAATAAGTACGAAAGTTTTTCATTTTCCTCGTTCTTTATTTTAAATTCAGTTTTGAGCTAGATCATGTTACAATTTTACTGAATCGTTATAATATCCCTGGCAGCAATTTCGCTATCGACAGCACCAGCATCGTAGCCCATTTGAAACGGTTCATCAACCACATCTTCAGCATTTAATACAACATTGCACAAATCCTTTCCCTAAGCTAATCAACCAGTCAACCAAATCACCCTCTTAAACATAAATTTTTACTCGACTCTGCTCTGAAAGAAAGAAAGTTTCACTTATTTGCTAGCAGTCATTTGATTCAGATTAGCTCGACCCATTAAATTGTTCTTTATCATCATCTTTAAATATTACAATGAATGCTCATAAGCCATTTTATTAATGGACTACATACACACAAGCAAACACACACACACAAATACCTTCCTTGGAGCTTTTAGCCTTTGATAACCTGTTGCGAATGCATGTGTGCGTAGTTATTATATTGGTAGAATTTAAAACAAGAAGTCTGAGAAATGCATGAGAGTATAGATAGATGAGTAACAATTGATTGAATAACAGAAAAATAAATGTCATAAAATCAATGTGGATGATAACTGAAAACTTAAAAAAGTGTGTGTGTGTGATAGCAAGTTGATGAAATTAAATCTCAGTCTTGTTCATGATGACACGAGTCACCCCAACAAATAAAACAAAAAACAATTTATGGTTATAATTCAATGATGTATTTTTATAGTTGATTCTAGTCAGATGGATAACATATGCAGAACCGTAGCAAATACTCAATCAAGTCTATCCAGAAAATCCTGCTACAGACGTAAACACATCTGAATTATGGCAGACTATAATGATCTCAAATTATGAAAAGTGAAATAATTAAGGAAATGGAAAACCAATCTTTTCATCACAACAACAGTACTAACAAGGCGGCCACCTTCTTCATACTTCCCCTCAAGTGCTCTCTTCGAAAACTGCTGGAATCGTTCATCAAACTTCTGATCGATCCGTTATTTAATGGTTTCAGTCGGGAATTAATTTGGTTCTGTAGTCGACATTTGGCGCTCGGAGAACCACGATGCTGGCTAGCTAAGAGAGCATTAACCTGTTGCATAAATGGTTCATACATTTTCACCTCAACGTTCACTAATTTTAGTGAACCAATCAAAATCTTTTGCATAGGAGCATAAAAATTGAACCCAGTAAGAAAGTCTACGCAATAACTATAATTTATCTATAAAATGTTTTCACATCAGAAAATGATACATCATTGAAGACAATTTCATTCTGCGTGTTTGCAGCCGTGCACGCTAAAACAGCAACGTTTTGTTAGCATTTAAAATATACAATATAAAAATCATTGAAACAAATTAATCAATGAGAATATAATAACTTGCTGATAGTTTGAAAGATGGTTGGCTCCAGGACTGTTCTCGTCACTACTCTGTGTTTGCGATATAAAAATTAATTGGCAACATATTTTTATATAACATATATCGCACATTCAATGTATCTCCATATTCAGTTATGTTAAGTTATACATATACGTATGCCATACATTTAATATAAGTATAACTCAAGAATAGTTAGTATAAAAGAGCTTGGCTAAAACTACCCAGTAGAAGAGAAAGGAAAATAATTTTGCAGTTGAAGTTTGATACATGTCTGGTCAGTTACCAGTTGATTGCCGGAAGAACAAGAACGAGACAGAAGTGTAAATGAGTGAGATTCAACTCAATCGACATATTAGTAACATTCAACGTCAACTTATGTTTCATATTGCTCGTTCACTTATAATTCTGAAAATATACAATAATGATAAAACCAATTAGAGGTTATGCGTACCTTCAATATTTTATAATCTGATAAACAGCAGTGTAACAACAACCAATATAATATGGTGGAGAACATTAATCAATATAACATTATTTGTAAAATAAAGAAATTTGGCACCTAAACCTTCAAATCATTCGTTATGGAAATCATTTTTAAAACCATATTTAAAAAGAGAATTTTCAGAGTGACTTGCAAGAAAGCATTTTGCAATATAATAATGTCAGTCTTTCATTGATTATAATGATTATAAGACTTAAAAATGATGACGACCCTTAGTACATTCTTGTTTATCGTGTTTTTTTTTATTTTTCAACTAGAACGCTTCTAGAATATGTAAGCAAGAATTATTATTTATAAAAGATTTTATTATTGAGCCAATAGTCCCACATTTGCAGTTCTCAAACAATCAAACAAGTTATCCGCTAATTCTTTGAATGTAAACAATTTCATATTTATACTAATGTTTCCTCATTGTACTTTTACTTTTGGTAAATGCTAAGTGCAAAATTTTGTTGAAAAATACAATAGAAAGAATTAAACAAAAAAGCAAGGACCCACTGTGGCGTCAGCATTGTAAAATTTTGATGAAAGCTGTCGGTGGCTGGAAAGTGGTGACGCAAGTAAATCATTTGAATGAAGTGCTGATGGTTGAGAAGCTGATGAAGTCATGTTGGGTTCTGCAGCTGGCATCTCGTTCACAAACACACGAATCTTTAATTGAATTGACCCCTGAGAAACTTTTTCTAACTTGAACCAACCATCGAACTGAATAACGCAATTATTTATTTATCGTGTAAAACGAAAAAATGACAAAGAATCAATAGAGAAATAATAAATTTCATCATGAAACAACGGGCAGTTATCATCACTCTCAGCAGAACTAACCTGAGGATCATTACTATGATCTATAAGTTGTTTGCGACTCAGAGAGAGACAGCCAATGAAATCGTTGCGTGAGAAAACGTCGTGGTCCCAGACTGACTGCGTGCCAAATCACATAATATCAATATATATGTGCAATATAGTTCACCACACTACGGATTTATAAAGCACGAAATTATCATACATTCACGCATCAACAAATTATAAATCATTATAAATAATAACGTAGCCAGAAATCTATTGCGGAGGAGAGGGAGAGGGTTTGGATTTTTTAAATCAAAAACTTTTATCTTATTTTACATTTTTATCATGAGTTTCATATTAAATCATGTGTTTTTTTATATTTGCTGAGATATCGTTATTGTAAAATGACTGAAACAGTCTGAAACCAAAATTTAAAAAATTTATATACAGATTATGTTAAATTCAACTTTAATCCCAACAAAAATATCCGTTGTATGGGAGGGAGGTTTCAACATTAAGGCTGCTTCCACTTTGGCTACGGATATGCAGCGTTGTTAGAGTTAGTTAGAGTATAGACAGACAGACAGACAGACAAGCAAATAACAAACAAATAAATTTATATGCAAACAAACATGAAGTTGATATAAGCGTAATAGAGAAAACGTTAGAACCTTGAAATGATAAGCAACAGCAACAGTTTTTTAAATGAGATTTGAAGAAAAAGTCTTCTGTTTGTTAACAAATTTAGCAAAGCAAAGACAAACACTTGCAAACTTGAATATCATCGTGCAAAAGAGAAAAAACACCAACAATCTCCAGTAGTTCCTCATCTCTCGGCAGTTCGATCGTACACTTTTCATTCCAGACTGGATTCAACGTTTTCTTCTTAACGTTACTGGTGTATTTTTTGGTTTTTCCAACCATGACATCGCAGAATGGATCACTCAGACCTTACAGGAGAGTGTTCAAGGAAGTTAGGTTAGGTCTTCGTTCAAGTGTAGCTAGCACCACTTAGTGTATATTTTTGTTTTTATCTAATCGGGTGAAATTTTACTTTTATAGATTTTGATTTTAAAAATTGCTAATTCATTATATTATCATAGCTAAATTTGGATGCTAACAATTGTTGCATAATTTTTTTACAAAAACGGGTAGGTCCACAAACCGTTATAGTCACAAGACGGATGATGTTTTTTCTTACAAATTTTGTTCTTGTGACAAATGCCAAAATTTTTGCATATACACTAAATAGTTAAATAATTTATTATTATATATCATATCTATGTTTATGTCGGCTACTCAATTTTATTTGTTTCAAATTACTTTTAGAATGTAGCGCTATATAAAAGTTGTAAATATTTCGTTCGATATTTGAAATGGGCGGCATTTTTTGTTGTCACCGACTCACTTTGTTGCTGGCTTGGAGTCCTTTGGCACTCATGGAACAATCATCATATAATCATATATTAACGCAACAGAAATTAGCATTATTACCAAATTTTCTAGAAGCAATAACACAATGAGCAGAAATGAAAATAAATGAAACATCGTGCATCACACAAGAGGAACATTAACAACCATTCCTATCCTTGGCAAGCAGTGACGTTGCCTGGATGATGTTCAGCTCGAGCAAACCTTCAGCAGCCAGTTTTAATGGTGTAGTACTGTCAAACTGTTAATATGTCAACGAAACAAATCATCATAGCGAACAATGTCAATTTAATACAAAAATGCATATCTGATCTCATATAATTCTCAATTTATTAACACGAATTGCAAATTTTAATCAAATTATAAAACTCCACGAAACATTATTATTGTTTATACTCTTTAACATTATTATCCTATTTGTTTCACAGATCATTATTAGCAAGTATTAATTATGTTTTATTATTTTTTTTTATTATTAATTATATTTATTAGTAAGATATCAATAAAAACATAAATAACAATGATTGGTGGGCTGGCTTAGGTTATCTATCTATTCTAGTTCATGGATGGGTAAACTTTATTTCTTGGAGTGAGGCCTACGTTAATATTTACGTAACTCGATGAAACTTGCGACATTTGTAAACCTTTGCTTATTGATCCCTAAAGGATTCAAATTTAGGGTAATGCGTGATAAGAATTCACCCGCTGTTACTAATTTTTTTGAAGGAATGCCCTTGAAATTCAAAAAAGAATTTGTCGAAATAAAATGGTTAAGATGAAAGAAATGGAAGCGAAGATAATAAAAAAATCACAAACCCACAGAGAAGGACTGCTTTGAACCGCTGCGTAATAAAAATATTTATCACTAATATTTCCTCCAAAGCGAATATAAATGCGTCATTAATTGATCAACCAAAAAAATTTTAAATATTAAAATCGTTAGATATTCCACCAAGTTGCCATCATTTACAATAATATTAATTCTTTCTCAAATAGTTTCAGAAGTACTAAAAACACATGATAATAGACTCAAATCAAGGATCTGCTGGCGTTCGAACCCAGTCACTGCAACGCAGAAACTGGCGTCTTTTACCATAATATACCTAACGATGGACCACGCGGCAACACAGCAGTTTGAATCACAAGCAGCACTAACAGAAAGATGTCCTCTCCTCGACCACAGCCACCTCTTCAACGGGGATGAAGACAACTGAGAGGATGATGCAACCTTTCTTCCCACATGATGTTACAGACGCTTCCTTCGGCACGGACAGGAGTGAGGAATTAAGTGGGAAACATTGATGGATGATGAGGTTTTCTGTCTGTTAGCATTTTGTTGTGACGATGAATAATGTGGTGGCCATGATGAACGGGTCGCGGTGGTGGAAGAATTTGAGGAATACAAACAGGGATGAAGTTGTTCAATATTAGTTTGGCTGGCTAACGAGACTGATCAAAGTTTAACGAAGTGAGTGAATAAAAAGATATAGAACTTATAAACATTGTTGTTGTCTAGCTTGACTTTGAATAATTATTGTTTATGTTTAGCGTGATGGCTGCACGTTTTCTCGGTTGTTTTGTAATTTAAGTGGTTTCTTGTTTTTTGCTTCAGAACAAGTGAGTTCTCTTCTTTTTCTATATCCTTTTCTATAACTTGTAAATATTATTATGTATATTCTAGAGACTTTCTCTTAAGCCTCTCTAATACTCTTTTGTCTCCGACGAGAGTAGTTCGGTGACGAACTTTTAACTTTAATCATAGGGCTAATAAAAATAATAAAAACAAGAAATCTAACTCTAACAAAAAAATAAATATAGTTAGTAACAATAATTATAGTAATAATAATAATAGCAAGTATAAAAACTTTATTAAATCCCACTCCAATAATTTTATTAATTTAAATAATATAACTAGATTTAAAAGTACCAATATCCAACCTACCTCCACATTTTCATTATTTAATATTAAAATAAGATCAATTAATAAAAATTTGCTCTATATTCATCAAATAATCTCTTCCTCCTTACCTGATTTTTTTAGTCTTACTGAAACTTGGCACGAGGACTCTAACTCTCCCTCTCTTATTCTTGCTACTCCTGATGGTTACAGCTTTCTTGGACTCTCTAGACCTTCAAAAGATCTTCTCTCGTCTTCTCATTCTTCTTATGGGAGTGTCTATCTATTTTATAAATTTCTATTTATGCTTCCATTAATACTTCCTTTTATTATTCTTCTTTTGAATGTCTTGTTGTATCTCTTAAGTCTTCTTCTCTATCTTTTTATATTGCTGTAATCTATCGACCTTCTTCTTCTCTATATTTTTAGATGAATTTTAATCACTCGTTGAATCTCTATACTAATTTTCTATTCCTTTCTATATCTCTGGTGACTTCAACTTACTCATCAATAACTTGTCTTGTTCTTACACTCGTAAATTTAATGATACTTTGTCTCTTTTTAACTTAACTCACTATTGTTCTTTTCCTACTCATACTTCTGGTAACACTATTGATTTTATTATAGTTTCATCTTTTTCTAAGCCTGTTAATATCTCTGCTAGCTCTGTTCATCATACTGATCACCTCCTTATTGAATCTGTATTTTTTTTTAGATTTTCTTCTTTCTAATTCATCTATGTCTATTTCTAAAAGATGCTGGTCTTTTCTTAATGAAGATATTTTTCTTCAATCTCTTACTGAAACTATTTTTTATACTACCTTATTTTCTGATGTTGATGATTTTGTCTATGCTTTTAATATCTACATTACTTCTATTCTTGATAAGCTTATTCCTCTTAAATCTTTTACTTATAGGCTTTATTCTCGTAAGGCTCCTTGGTTTGATTATGCTTGTGCAGTAGCCAAGAAAAGTGTTAGAAGACTGGAGAAAGCCTATAGGTTAAATCCATCTAACTCTCTTTATTCTATCTATGAATCTGAATTGATTAATTATAAATATTTACTATTCTCTAAACACTCTACTTTTTTTAGAAATTCTATAACATCTGTTTCAACATGTAAAAATAGATGGTCTGTTCTATCTAAACTAAAAATCCTCTCACTCATCTTTTTCTGCTCAACAGTTTCATGATTTTTTGTAAATAAAATTTCTTCTTTAAGAACATCTAATTCTAATTTTTCTTCTCATAACTACTAAACTTACTACTGAATCTTTTTCTGTATTTACTCCAATAAATCTTTTAGAACTAACTAAAATTATTAATTCTATGTCGTCTACAACCTGTTTTCTAGATTCTTCTAATTTACTTAAAGAATTTTCTTCAATAAATTATCCAATCATTCTTAAATTAGTTAATTTATCTCTTTCCATCTCTAAATTTCCTACTTCTTATAAGAATTCTATTGTTATTCCTATTCTTAAAAACTCATCCCTAGATCCTACCTCTTTATCTAATTATAGACCTGTAACTAATATTACTTTCATTTCTAAAATAATAGAAAAAGTAGTTTTTAATCAACTGTCATCCTATTTAGACTTTAACTCCTTGCTACCTGTATCTCAATCTGGTTTCAGACCTGCTCATAGTACTGAAACTTCTTTACTCAAAATACACAATGATATCCTTCTCTCTAATGACAATAGTAATCTTACTCTTCTTCTTGCTCTTGACTTTTTTTTCGGCTTTTGGTACTGTTGACCATACTATTCTCTTGAGACTGCTGCATCTTTCTTTTAATATTACTGATTCTTGTCTATCTTGGTTTTCTTCTTATCTCTGTAATCGTTTTTCTTCTGTTCTCCTCAATAATTCTACTTCTAACTCCTTTACTCTTACTTTCGGAGTACCTCAGGGTTCTATCTTTGGCCTTCTTCTATTTATACTCTATACTTCTGAACTACCTCGTATTATTAATAACTTTTCTTTCTCTAGTCAACTATATGCTGATGATTCTTACATTTATACTTCTTTTCCTCCATCTAATCTCAATAGTGTTCTTCGTAATCTATCTCTATGTCTTTCTTCAATTATCGCTTTGTCTGACTCTATGTGTATTAAACTTAATCCTTCTAAGTTTGAATTAATTTGTTTTAATAAATCTAAACACTCTATTACTATTCCTCCTATTATCTTACCTGATTCTAAAACTATTGATGTTTCTCACAAGTTTCGTAGTCTAGGCTTTTCCTTCGATTCTAGTATTATTCTTTCTTCTCAGATTAATAGTGTTGCTAGAAGTTCTTACTTTGATCTACGTAGAATAAAAATAAAATAAAATTCTACTCTTCTTCTTCTTGTTACTTCGTTAGTCATATTTAGGATTGATTACTGTAACTCCCTCTACTATGGTCTTCCTGACTCTATACTCTATCCTTTAAGTAAAGCTTTTAACTCTGCTGCTCGTCTAGTTGCTCGTGCCCATATTCTTTTCTCATATATTTTGTTCTCTTGCACTGGCTACCTATAAAATATATAATAATTTTTAAATTTGCACGTTCATGTATAAGTCTCAATCTAAATTATTTCCTAAGCATTTATCAGATATATTAATTGAACCTAAACGCCCCGGTTTACGATCGTCTTCTTCTTCTCGCTTTTTCTTAACTCGTGTTAAACACTCTTTTGCCAAATCTGCTTTTGCTTTTTCTAGTCCTTTTCTCTGAAACTCTCTACCTACTTCTCTGACTACTTCTCCATCACTTGCGAAGTTCAGAGCGGATCTCAAGACCCATCTGTTTTCAAAATTCATTGAGGAGCGCTGTTGAACATCGCGAAAATAGCGCTTCATAATCTAATTGATTGATTGATTTATTGTTTGAAGGCTCCTTGGTTTGACTATGCTTGTGTATTAGCTAAGAAATGTGTTAGAAGACTTGAGAAAGCCTATAGGTTAAATCTATCTAACTCTCTTTATTCTATCTATAAATCTGAATTAATTTATTATAAATATCTACTATTTTCTAAACACTCTACTTTTTTTTAGAAATTTTATAACATCTGCTTCAACATCTAATAATAGGTGGTCTGTTCTATTTAAACTTCTTCATAAGAAATCCTCTCACTCATCTTTTTCTGCTCAAGAGTTTCATTTTTATCCTCATAACTTTGCATAACTTACTACTGAATCTTTTTCTGTATTTACTCCAATAAACCTTCTAGAACTTACTAAAATTATTAATTCTATGTCGTCTACAACCTGTTCTCTAGATCTATATCTTTCTAATTTACTTTAAAAATTTTTTTCAATATTTTATCTTATCATTCTCAAATTAATTAATTTATCTTTTTCCACATCCAAATTTCCTACTTCTTATAAAAGTTCTATTGTTCCTATTCTTGAAAACTCATCCTTAGATCCTACCCCTTTATCTAATTATAAACCTGTTCCTAATATTACTTTCATCTCTAAAATAATAGAAAAAGTAGTTTATAATCAATTTTCATCTTATTTAAACTCTAAATCTTGGCTACCTGTATCTCTATCTGGTTTCAGACCTGCTCACAGCACTGAAACTTCTCTACTCAAAATACATAACGATATCCTTCTCTCTTGTGACAATAGTAATCTTACTCTTCTTCTTTCTCTTGACTTTTTCTCCTCTTTTGATACTGTTGATCATACTATTCTGTATACGTATCTAAGGATTTGTGGAGCGCCCATCTTGAATAACTTCAGAAGCGCTAGCTTTACTCGAGAGTGTCAAAACAAATGATGTTTCAAACGTTTCTTGAAAACATGTCGGCTTATGTTGTTGAATTATTTCAAATTTACAGGTAGTGAGTTCCAGATTTTTGCAGACGAAACAGAAAATCTTCTCTTCCAAAACGAGACGAATTGAATATAGGAAGCACAAGATCACCACTATCGCAGGATCTCAGTCGACTCCGATTTGCAATTTTTGAAACTAACTAGTTGTTCCCTCAGATGAGTTGGTGCGTCACCTCAAGACAATCTATGAATAGACGAGCTAGTTTGAAAACGATTCTTTCTGGCATTCTCTTGAGGCTGTTTTTTTAATATTACTGATTCTTGTCTATCTTGGTTTTCTTCTTATTTCTGTAATCGTTTTTCTTCTGTTGTTCTCAATAATTCTACTTCTAACTCCTCTATTCTTACTTTCGGGGTACCACAGGGTTCTATCCCCGAACCTCTTTATTTATACTCTAAACTTCTGAACTACCTTGTATTATTAATAACTTTTCTTTCACTTGTCAACAATATGCTGATGATTCTTATATTTATACTTCTTTTCCACCATCGAATCTATTTTTATGTCTTTCTTCAATAATCGCTTGGTCTAACTCTATGTGTCTTAAACTTAATCCTTCTAAATTTGAATAAATTTGTTTTAATAAATCTAAACACTCTATTACTATTCCTCCTATTATCTTACCTGATTCTAAAACTATTGATGTTTCTCACAAGTTTCGTAGTCTAGGCTTTACCTTCGATTCTAGTATTATTCTTTCTTCTCAGATTAATAGTGTTGCTAGAAGTTCTTACTTTGATCTACGTAGAATAAAAATACTTTTACTCTTACTTGATGATTCTACTCTTCTTCTTGTTGTTACTTCGTTAGTCATATTTAGGATTGATTACTGTAACTCCCTCTACTACGGTCTTCCTGATTCTACACTCTAAACTTTAAGTAAAGCTTTTAACTCTGTTGCTCGTCTAGTTGCTCGTGCCCCTTTCTTTTCTCATATATCTCCACATCTTGTTCTCTTGCACTGGCTACATATAAATTATAGAATATTTTTTAAAATTTGCACTTTTTTACTTTTAGCGTGATGGCGGCACGTTTTCTCGGTGGTTTTTTAATTTGGGTGGATTCTTGTTTTCTGCTTCTGAACAAGTGAGTTCTCTTTTTTTTACTATGACTATTTTTTTCTATATCTTTCAACATCTTTTCCTTAACTTGAAAATATTATTATGTCTTATTCTAGAGACTTTCTCTTAAGCCTTTCTAACACTCCTTTGTCTCCGACGAGAGTAGTTCGGCGGCGAATTTTTTACTTTAATCTTAGGTCTAATAATAACAATAAAAATAATAAATCTGACTCTAACAAAAAAATAAATATAGTTAGTAACCATAATTATATTAATAATAATAATGTTATTAGCAAGTATAATATGAATAATAATAATTTTATTAAATCCCACTCTAATCCTAATGTAATTAATACTAATGATAAGAATAATAATTCTAATTCTATTAGTTTAAATAATATAACTAGATTTAAAAATACCAATATTCAACCTACCTCTACATTTTCACTGTTTAATATTAACATAAGATCAATTAATAAAAAATCGCTCTTCCTCCTTACCTGATTTTTTTACTCTTACTGAAACTTGGCACGAGGACTCTAACTCTCCCTCTCTTATTCTTGCTACTCCTGATGGTTACAGCTTCCTTGAACTCTCTAGACCTCCAAAAAATCTTCTATCATCTTCTCATTCTTCTTATGGAGGTATCTGTCTGTTTTATAAATCTCTATTTACTGCTTCCATTAATACTTCCTTTCACTTTTCTTCTTTTGAATGTCTTGCTGTATCTCTTAAGTCTTCTTTTCTATCTTTCTATATTGCTGTAATCTATCGCCCTCCTTCTTCTTCTCTCACTTTATTTTTAGATGAATTCTACTCACTCGCTGAATCTCTCTACTCTTTTTCTATTCCTTTCTACATTTCTGGTGATTGTAACTTGCACTTCAATAATTTATCATGTTCTTACACTTGTAGGTTTAATGATATTTTGTCTCTTTTTAACTTAACTCAATATTGTTCTTTTCCTACCCATACTTCTGGTAACACTATTGATTTTATAATAGCTTCATCTTTTTCTAAGCCTATTAATATCTCTGCTAGCTCTGTTTCTTACTCTGATCACCTTCTTATTGAATCTGTTTTTTCATTAGATTTTCTTCCTTCAAATTCATCTATGTCTATTTCTAAAAGATGCTGGTCTTCTCTTAATAAAGATATTTTTCTTCAATCTCTTACTGAACCTATTTTTGATACCACCTTATTTTCTGATGTTGATGATTTTGTCTGTGCTTTTAATATCTACATTACTTCTATTCTTGATAAGCTTATTCCTCTTAAATCTTTTACTTATAGGCTCTATTCTCGTAAGGCTCCTTGGTTTGATTATGCTTGTGTAGTAGCCAAGAAAAGTCTTAGAAGACTGGAGAAAGCCTATAGGTTAAATCCATCTAACTCTCTTTATTCTATCTATGAATCTGAATTGATTAATTATAAATATCTACTATTCTCTAAACACTCTACTTTTCTTAGAAATTCTATAACATCTGCTTCAACATCTAAAAATAGGTGGTCTGTTCTATCTAAACTTCTACATAAAAATCTTCTCACTCATCTTTCTCCGCTCAACAGTTTCATGACTTTTTTGTAAATAAAATTACTTCTTTAAGAACATCTAATTCTAATTTTCCTTCTCATAACTTTACTAAACTTACTACTGAATCTTTCTCTGTATTTACTCTAATAAATCTTTTAGAACTAACTAAAATTATTAATTCTATGTCGTCTACAACCTGTTCTCTAGATCTACTTCCTTCCAATTTACTTAAAGAATTCTCATCAATATTTTATCCTATCATTCTCAAATTAGTTAATTTATCTCTTTCCACCTCTAAATTTCCTACTTCTTATAAGAATTCTATTGTTATTCCTATTCTTAAAAACACATCCCTAGATCCTACCTCTTTATCTAATTATAGACCTGTAACTAATATTACTTTCATCTCTAAAATAATAGAAAAAGTTGTTTTTAATCAACTCTCATCCTATTTAGACTTTAACTCTTTGCTACCTGTATCTCAATCTGGTTTCAGACCTGCTCACAGTACTGAAACTTCTTTACTTAAAATACACAATGATATCCTTCTCTCTAGTGACAATAGTAATCTTACTCTTCTTCTTGCTCTTGACTTTTCTTCAGCTTTTGATACTGTTGACCATACTATTCTCTTGAGACTGCTGCATCTTTCTTTTAATATTACTGATTCTTGTCTATCTTGGTTTTCTTCTTATCTCTGTAATCGTTTTTCTTCTGTTTGTCTCAATAATTCTACTTCCAACTCCTCTACTCTTACTTTCGGGGTACCTCAGGGTTCTATCCTTGGCCCTCTTCTATTTATACTCTATACTTCTGAACTACCTCGTATTATTAATAACTTTTCTTTCTCTAGTCAACTATATGCTGATGATTCTTATATTTATACTTCTTTTCCTCCATCTAATCTCAATAGTGTTCTTCATAATTTATCTCTATGTCTTTCTTCGATTATCGCTTGGTCTGATTCTATGTGTCTTAAACTTAATCCTTCTAAGTTTGAATTAATTTGTTTTAATAAATCTAAACACTCAATTACTATTCCTCCTATTATCTTACCTGATTCTAAAACTCTTGATGTCTCTCATAAGTTTCGTAGTCTAGGTTTTATCTTTGATTCTACTATGTCTCTCTCTTCTCAGATTAATAGTGTTGCTAGAAGTTCTTACTTTCATCTACGTAGAATAAAAAAACTTTTGCCTTTTCTTGATGATCCTACTCTTCTCCTTCTTGTTACTTCGTTAGTCTTATCTAGGATTGATTATTGTAACTCGCTCTACTATGGTCTTCCTGACTCTATACTCTATCCTTTAAGTAAAGCTTTTAACTCTGCTGCTCGTCTAGTTGCTCGTGCCCCTTTCTTTTCTCATATATCTCCATATCTTGTTCTCTTGCACTGGCTACCTATAAAATATAGAATAATTTTTAAAATTTGCACGTTCATGTATAAGTCTCAATCTAAATTATTTCCTAAGTACTTATCAGATATATTAATTGAACCTAAACGCCCCGGTTTACGATCGTCTTCTTTTTCTCGCTTTTTCTTAACTCGTGTTAAACACTCTTTTGCCAAATCTGCTTTTGCTTTTTCTGGTCCTTTTCTCTGGAACTCTCTACCTACTTCTCTAACTATTTCTCCATCACTTGCGAAGTTCAGAGCGGATCTCAAGACCCATCTGTTTTCAAAATTCATTGAGGAGCGCTGTTGAACATCGCGGAAATAGCGCTTTATAAGCTAATTGATTGATTGATTGATTGATTGATTGATTCATGTATAAGTCTCAATCTAAATTATTTCCTAAGTACATATCAGATAAATTAATTGAAACTAAACGCCCCGGTTTACGATCGTCTTCTTGTTCTAACTTCTTCATAACTCGTGCTAAACACTTTTTGCTAAATCTGCTTTTGCTTTTTCTGGCCCTTTTCTCTAGAGCTCTCTACCTACTTCTCTGACTACTTCTCCATCAATTACCCATCTGTTAGCAAAATTCATTGAGGAGCGCTGTTGAACATCGCGGAAGTAGCGCTTTATAAGTTAATTGATTGATTTATCATTTCAATTATCTTTTTAAGCAAATTTTGAGATAACATAAAAATTTTACACACACAATTTTGTAGATACGTTTGCCCATTGCAATATTCATGAGCATGTAGAAAAAAATAGTTGAGATGGGTCTCAAGCACAGAGTCTTGGTAGTCACAAAATTTTTAATATGATAATTAAGAAGAAGGTTTTATAAAAAAGTGTTAAACAGTTGTTATGAAATTATTTTTTAAATCGACAAAATTATTATCAAATATATCAATGAATAAATATTTAAGCAAAACATGAAAAGGTTGAAAAGCGTTTGTACATTTAAACGTAAAATTACTTCCCTTGTATTTATATTAAGATTGTAACATGGCTGTAGTTACAAATCAGCAGTTGTTTGTCTGAAAGCTTGTTGCTTTTTTCAAATTGGGTGAAGTGAACGTAAGTTTTCTCCAACATTACGCGGAATCACCATCGATAAAACTTCGCAACTATTTAAAATCTAGCGGTAACGATGAAATGAAATGTTTTTGGAGCGAATCGTTCAGCTACAAAATCGTTCAAAATCGAAAAAATGTTTCCTGACTCGTACGAAATTAAACCTACCCTTAAAACACTAATGATACGGCAGCAAATCGCGAAATTCTAACACTTTGTGTGATGTGATGGGGGCCTGATGGCTCAATGGATAAAGGCGCCTGGTCTTGCTTTTGCAATGACTGGGTTCAAATACAAAGAGATCCCCGCCTATCATATGCAATGTGTATGATGCGTGATTTGCACGCGTATTCATATACGCTGTGTATGTTTGTTTGTCGTTAAAACTTCTGAAGCAAACGCAAAAGAGAGAGAGAGAAACGTTTATTCTTTTTAACCTTTAACTTTGATCATTTCATTTTATGTATGATATGTATGTACGCATGTACTGTACACATGTACAGTACACACACACACACATATATATATATTTATATTATTAAATTTGATACTGTCAATTCAAAACTTTTATAAGATTTTTCTGACCAAATGACGTTTGAAAAGAGAATTTTCACAAATTACCGTGCTATAGAATATATATATATATATATATATATAGAGAGAGAGAGAGAGAAAGAGAGAGAGAGATAAATGGAGAGAGAGAAAGAGAGAGGTAATTAAAATTGTGTATGAAACAGGTGATGTTTGTTTAGGTTGGAATTGTTTGTTTGACGGAGAAATTAATTAATGATGTAGGATGGATTGGAAGACTGGATTTATGATTTGACCTTCAGAAGCATCTCTATCATCACCGACAACACGAAGCAACACTTCATCAACATCATCATCTACGTGAAACAATACATCACCAACACAAACAAAATCATAATAATGGACACGAACGAATATATTATGAAGAAGAAAATGAATACGGACCAGTGACATGACGATGTGTGTGGAGCCGAGGAAGTCGTCATCATGGGCCGATGGTCCGTCCCAGTCATAAACCACGAAGGATAACACTACCTGCACATGCACGTAATTTATTTTGTTTTATCATTGTAGCAAGCTTTTGTTTAGTCTAAAAAACAATTGGTATTTTATATGCAAACAATCTATCCATCGCAAGAACAAGAAAGTCTTAAAATTCGAAGCAGAATAAAAAAATTATTAACAAATCTAACAACATTATTTCAAAGCTTTGCGAAACAAATGTGTCTTCACATACAGACGCTTTTGTTTGTAAGCATAATTTCAAACTCTAGAGAAGCGAACAAGAAAAACAGCAGAAGCAGCATTTGGTTTGTAACCTGTCAATGAACTCTTTCAAAAGCGACCTTAAAAAAAACATAAGTCTCAACCTCAGTTAAGTAAATTAACGATATCGTCAAGATCAAGGTTATGGCTGTGCATCACATGTCAAACGAAACATCAATAATAAGCAATCAACAATTCAACCTTGCTGATATCCTCAACGATGAATTGCGTGTAAGCCTCCCATTTTGGATTCTTCGTGTGTGGAATGTAGTGCGTGCAGAGGATCTGGTGTTGGTGTTGGTCACGAATTTCTTCTTAATTATTCCCACATTTGTTTATTGTTTATATCATTTCATGTAAAAATTCACTGAATGATTGGCTGATAGTTTTAATAATCTGAATAATTTAATAATATATTTTGGCATTTAAATATAAATATATATATATATAATATCGATAAATTTCTTGAATATCCAAACATCTAAATTATTTCATTCGTTCTAAATCCGTAAGTCCACATTCATTCAGATACATCTTCATTTCTCATCTATCTTCCACTTATTTTGAATTAACACAAACTTCCTTGAAAATTCTTTGAAATTTTGTATTGTACTGAGTGTGTGAGAACTGAATAAATCTTGCGACGAAAAAAATCATTATTGTAAACTTTGACGCTCGTTACTACCAACACCGATGTTATAACTTCAAGGACCTCTATATTTCTAACAGCAATTCTGTAGCTTCCAATGATCATCAAGTGTTCGTTATTCCGTAGGTTCAAGATTTCCGATATATGAACGCAATTGCTTTAAACGCAAACTTTGTTGAACGTTTATTTCAAATTATAGAAACACTAAAATAATTCAAGTAATTACATAAATCACTTTTACGACTTCGCTTCAAACCTCTCCATTAACCTCCCTATTCACAGGTCCTCTACAGTAGATTTTGACAATCCTTTATGGCATGAAAAGGTTTACAACCAATGACAAATAGCGAAGATAACAAATATAACAACAACTTAGACTGACTGATACAGTTGCAATTTGCCAAACTTACATTAAAAAATGACATGGTAAAAAATTTCCTGGTTGTTACATTACAATATACTTACTCATTAGTATGACGAATAAAATCAAAATCTGTTAAATTCAGAAAATGTAAATATATAATAATAAATTGTGTTTTTTATTTATAATTACTTTTACGTAACACGGGAGGTCAAATCGTTTATAACGGAAGTGTTACGGAAGGTAGGAGAAAGCGTCAGAAGAGTCTTGTAATTTCAGATTTGTTATTGGGATGCAGCTTGGCTCGTATATGTGTGTTTGTGGTATGTGTGTGTGTGTGTGTGTGTGTGTGTGTGTATGGTATGTGTGTGTGTGTTTGTGTGTGCGTCTGCCTGTCTGTCTGATGCGCGTCATAAATAATGACAGAAACCATAATGTTATTTTAGATGTTAAGACTCAATAAATAACTTTTTGATGTTTATTTTTGTTCCTATTTTATTTCGGTGAGAATATTAATATCAACTAAATGTAAATAAGTAATTGAACGCCAACATAGCAATCAACTTTTTTGAATTTTGTATACAGTTTAATGAGTTGTATAGCGCAGAAATTTTTAACAAAAAATAAGTGTGTACCGAACGATGGAGTTAGTGATTTAAATACTGTCAAAAATGAATGGTGGAAATCCATTAGATGCGTGCTCCAGATGTGAAAAATGTTTTTGAACAAGCCATGTGCTTTAACAGTTAAATTTTCTAGTTCAATCATTTATACAAAGCTGGAAGAATTGAAAAAAATTGTCAGATATTTTTTGGAATTGAAAATGCTTTTAATCGGATAACGTGAACAACAAAGATAAATCAAACAATTTAAAAAAAATTGTTAAAACAAAAAGATACCGGTTGCAAAAAATGTAATTCTAATAATTGAGTTAAAAAAAGTTTCTTATCCGTTGAAACTGTCACCAGCCCCCCTCAGTTTCAAAACAATCATTGCACTAGAAAAGCATTTATAACATATTTATACATACATATTTTTTGAATCAACTTTCAACACGATGAAGTTTTATGAATTTGTATTCATTCAAATCAATAGACCTATAAAGACCAAACATGAACTTGTGAACGTCAACAATATTTTCAAACTGCTGATTTTTATCAACACCTAGATATTTCGGCAGTTGTATTGATAACAATTAACAGTTCAGCTTCTTGCATTAACATTTTACTACTCTCTTGCAAATTTTTATTTTTGAAATTTTCAATAAAACGCCAATTGAAAGATTTTCTTCATTACATTGTCAACGTTTGCAATCATCACTGATATGATTGCTGACATTGATGTTGTTACATCATCAAATATCATCCACATCACAAAACGTTTACAAACCTTTTTTCCATTGCTGTAGAGCATGCAGTAAGGATCGGACTTGCCATCTCTATCCAGTCCAGGTAGGTCAGATGCTCCATGGATGCAGATGTTCAGGACTCCTGTTTCTTTTATTAAAATTACTACATCGTCATCACCATCTTCTTCTTCATCATACTCGTCATTTAACTTCCTTATCATCGTCCATCTTATAATTTTTATCATCAACGACATGTAAATAGTAAATTTGTCATCATTCTCAATCATCAAACTCTTATATTCATAATCTGTCTCATAGTCATACTCATAGTTTATTTACATAAACCTATCTGTAGTGAATAATTTGTTACGCTGTCCATCGCTAGGCTCAGCCCTGCTCTTAGTAAAATCATGCAAGCTAACCTATAAGCGAATGGGCTAACGATTTATTTTATCTTTTTATGTTCTGTTTCACTTTTTTCAGGAGTGTTTTATTTTAATTTTGTAAATATTTTTGGCAATACAATCGACTTTTATTGATTAAATGTTGAAAATCTTTTAAGTCTTGAAATATTCAGTTGACAAGAACGTTCATTTTAAATACACTAAAATTTAACACCTAAACTGAAGTCAGTGCGAGAAGTTATTTTCCTTTGCCTCCCAAGTTATTTAATGGTTTTCTATCGTCAATTTGCTGCTGTAGAATGGTGGTAATACATTTATTTGCACGTGGCGACCGAAGGTCTAGGATTGCCTCTGCACGCGTAAAACACCTAACAGTCATTCATTTTTACACAACATTCGAACCAGGTCTGTGCGTATTAACTTCTCGAGACATGACTCTGCCAACCTATAAGCCAACTTGTCGTTCTAAATAAATTATGTCTATTTATAGTAATTTCACTTATGAGCAGAGGCAAAACAAACAACCGCAGATTGTTCATCCACAGTTAAGCATCAAACAATGAACTGTCACACACATCAGCCCAATCACACGCAACTCGCCGCACAAAATCCCATTATATCCTGTCAACACAATGACGTACTAAAATCCCACATAACAAAATCAATCATTAACCAGGAGATAAAACTAACTTGTGAGTTTGAGGGAATCTGGAATGAAGAGAGCTCCCTTCTGAATGATTTGATCGATATCTTGCAGGGCCGTGTACTTCATGCTGATGTTCATCTTGAGAACTTCGTCGGTTCGTTCCAACACCTCGTCCACGGTCGTCTCCACTCTGTCCATAGTTCATTATTTTAGTATAAACTTCAATCATATTGGCTAAATTATAAAGATAATGCAGCTCTTGTTGTTATAATTTCATTAAACCAAATGTAAATGGACGCTAAAAAAATCTATTTAAAACTTTAAATAAACAACAAATAAATCAATAAGTAAATTTAATTATAATGTGAAGTTTCAGCAATAAATTTTTAAAACAAAATTTAAAAAAGTGATTTGCAAACTCAATAAGTGAATTAAGGAATGAACGAGTGAACAAGCGATAAATGAGTAATTATACGATAATTCAGACAACTTGAAGTATTCAAACTTATTTAAAGACTCCATAAAATAGCTGACAACTAACAAATTTTTTAAATTAATTTTTTTTCACGTGTTATTAAAAGCCCATAAAAACAAAATGTGTCAACATTAAAGTAATAATTAATTAATGTGGTGTAGATGAAAAATATTTTTAATAAGCTATGAAGAAACATATTAATTACGTTCATCCATTTTTCTATTGAGTTAGCCAATTTATATCTTTGTTCACAGCACAATAATGCGCACATGTAAATTTACAAGAAAAAATCGTGCAACACAAAAACAAGCATGATAATTATAAGTAGTACCATTAGACCTGTATCGAGCTTTTCGTCAGTAGCAATGAGAATAATATCAATAACATCGATAAAGTCAATTGTATCACGAAAAAATAAACTGAGGTCCAAACCACAACAGCCCCAGACTATCTGAGCTGCACACTGAATACATATTTGTATATACCATACTCATACACGCATGCCTGCATATTATTCTAGATATATGATGATGATGATGATGATAATTATTAGATTATTTGTAAAGCCCATTTTATAACTTTCTCAAAGTTGCTTGTGTGCATAAATATATATCTATCCTATATAAAAAAGAATAAATATTTCTAACAAATAAATAATATATATATATATATATATATATATATATATATATATAATTAGGTACAAGGCCATTACGTATACAATTTTCATTAAATTCTATCGTTATAGTATTTTATTTTTTATTAATTTCAATTTCTCTTTGTTTCCATTAATATATTGTAATTTCATATTTAGTTTATTACTACAAGAATTACATGTCGACAGCGTTTAAATAGGATGAGGAACTTATGAATAGAATTATTAGAAACTGTTAAGTCAACTAATGGACCTAGAAACCGTTAAACTTAGAGTCTATTACACCAACCATAAAACTTCATCTCAAATTATGAAAAACAACTGCATAAGCAAACCGGAATCGATAATAAACCGTAGTCACCTAGTGTACTCATAAAAATGCAAAATTGGTAAATGAAGGCACCAAAACTCTAAATACATCGGAATGACAACAACTAAATTATCAAAAAAGCTTACAATGCATGTTCAGTCAGGAACAACATAAAATCACCTGAAAGAGAAACAAAACACAAAAATCACCAAAGAAATACTCAACAATAACGTAGAAGTAATTCACTACAATAACAATCCACACAATCTAAGGATTGTAGAATCTAGCACGAAATTTCTAACCTACCCAGAAAAGTTCTTCCAATATGAAAGTACTAAAACATGAAACAACGTACTCAGGTTTTTGTTGAAGTGCGTAGTTGTTGAGGGGCAGAACGATGTGGGCGAGTGACTGGTTGGTGAGCAGGACCTTGCTCTTCAGTCTGATCTTCAGCTGGAATGGTGAGGAGTTATTGAGGCAGTTGTGATAACAACAGGTTAATGAAACGTATAAAAGAATTTTGAGTGAATTGAGGTTGCGATGAATAAAGTATGACTATACAAGCACATCAACTTTCAATGAAACATCAATGATAACACCGATCTGATGTAGATGTAACAACCCTTCATACAAATCGTAGTGGAAAAACGAACTTGAAACAACGAAAATATTTTTTAAGTTCTGCACAACCTGTTCGGTGGAGAGATTGTACACAAGAAAGGTGGCAGAATGAGTGAATGGTGATGATCCAGACACGAGTGGGGATGACGACGATTGCTGGTCGTCAATTGCAACCGTGCAATATCTTGTGTCGTTGAACAGTTCTGATCACAAATTCAAAAATTAAAACTGAAATGTAAGAAAATAAATAAATATAAACGAATATATGAATAATAAATGTTTAACGATTTATTGCATTGCCACTAACCTAGCGAGTTGGAGGGAGTCTTGTTTTTCACATCTGCATTATGATTTAATAGTGGGAAGTTAAAACATTGAACCGAATGTACATATATGCCGCACAATACGATGAATACCAATCCATTAGCAGTAATTTGTTAAGTTAAATCAACTGAAATGCTGTTCTGTTCAAATGAACTTAAAAATAATAAAAATAAACACATTGTTTAAGAAAAGTGCGAAAATTGAGAGAAATTAAAACGATTTGTAGAAGAGCACCTGTGGAGGGCTTATATTGTCCTGCAATCGTCACCGTTATAAGACCCCTGGCTTTAATAGGATCGTGAAAATGAAAAACCAAATTTCAATAACCAATTTTATAAATATCTATTTAATTCTATAAATATGTCAAGCGAAAAGTAAATCTTCAAATGTTTCAAGTCAAGCAGCAAGAGTTATAAATGAGTGAATGAAGATTTATAGTACCAAGTTTTTTGAAAGGCTGTTTATCGAGGACGGGACCCATCAGTCCTCTATTGTTGAACGTGATCTCCACTTTGCCAGGGTCAACGAGAGCTTCAGTGAGGGCGTTTATGATCAAATTATGTAACCAGAGTTTTAAAAGAGGGATCTCCATTATTTGAATGTACCTTAGTACGCGAATGTTGAACCAAACTTCAGGCCTGTTGTATTTTATTGTTTGAATATCGTTTGTAATTTGCTTGTAGGTTGCTTGTCTCTTGTTAATGCACTGCGCGCATATTGTTTGTATGGCGTGGAAGGATGAACACTCACAACCTATAAAAAGCTTTTAATACATTTACACTCCTACACTTAACAATTCCTCGGACAAAAACCACTCTTAACAACTGTTAGTAGGGGTCATATACAACTTGTGACAAATATGCAGGAAGTTTTGTAACGTTCGTTGCTTATCAAACAGCGACCATAAAAAAAAAACAAAAAAACAATTGAGCGCAATCTAACGGCGACAACAACATTAATAGCAACAACAACAATAAAAGGATGTACAACAACAACAACAACAACAACCAGATGTACAACAACGCCAACAGCAACAGGATGTACCACAACGCCAACAACAACAATGTCAATAAATATGAGTAACTCCAATATCAACTATTAGTAAAACCTCAATTAAAACACCAACCAAAACAAATTTTGAAATGACAACAAACATTTCAAAACCCCAACAAAATGTGAACAATAACATGAAGGGACTACTTGTCGACGAAACATGAAGTGATGGAGGCCACGTGGGGGAATGGAACATCTCTGTCCAGATGAATGTTCACCTGGACCAGGGCCTTCACGTTCATTTTCTCTATCAACAAATCAAATGACAACCCTAACCTGTTTTGTGATCGAGTGAATAGTTGGAATGCATTCAGTTACTGAATACATGTTACCACTGAATTTCAGTCGTTCAACGAAATAAATCAATGATAGTGCTGCTGACTTTATTGTGGTTATGTGAATGATGAATGAAGACGACAGTGACGATATTACAAATTGAATTTAAATTGTAACTAAATATAACTACCAGCACATGAATATAAAATTAAAATCACATCGTTCGTTGAAAAAATAAACGAATAGAAATGGAAAAGAAGTTTTATGTCAATTTAACGTACTATCTGATAAATTAATAAACAAAGCAGCAAGATCATAGAAACATGCCATCTTAGGAATCTGAGTTTGCACGAATTTATAAAAATTTGAGCAGGCACGTTTTGTAAACAAATAAATTCAGGGATAGTTCAAATCATAAAATGGATGTATCTATTGTTATATGTCATGATCTATGACGATATTTTTGTTAAGTCTATTCACGTTGCAGTAAGTATCGAAACTACTCTGCAAACAATTATCACTGCAAGTATCACTACAACAATGATTAATCTTATTAATCTATTATTGCCGTCACTTCTACTACAACAATCTTTCACGTTGTAACCAAATATAACTACCGACACATGAAAAACATCTCCGCAATGTTGAACAGAATAATCGATTCAGGTTGTCATCAGAACGGATCAATTATGCAAATGACTTCATCCGATTGAGAGCAATCAACGTTTCTAAGAAAAAAAACTACCATCAACACAACACAACGGTGCTCGTGTTGCAGATAATGCTAAGATTTATTAATTGACAGAAAATCACGACGCCCCAGACGATGGAACGACGAAAGTAAAGTGTTCTGGCTGTTGATTGTGGGTGGTGAGGTGTGAATATGACGAAAGCAACGTTGAAAACGGAGAGATTTTGAGAGATAACAATTATATAAATTGTGCTATTTGTGGATGTTTATATTTATTTAAAGTGAAAACAAGAGTTTTGAAAAATAAATGAAAGTTAGAACTTTACAGATGGGTACATTCTTATATTGAAGGCAATGAAACATTATTGAAATAATATTAATACCAAACATTCGATTTAATATATACTATAGATTCGTGTGATGAATAATCGCAAGGGTAGCAATGTGAATATTTAATAGTCGACGAAATAGCAACAAAATATCATCAGAATGTGACAAAAAATTTTCTACCCTATAGGCCGAAAAGTAAAATTGAGATAAAAAAAAAAGTTTTTTTAATGTGGGCACATCAAACAAGATTTTTAAATTTTTTGCATTTTTTTGAATAAACGGTTTAAATGTTTAATTTTACACGGCTAATGATAGTTTTTAAACGACTGCTCTACTTGTCTATGTACATTTTCAAATGGGTTACAAAGTGAAACATTGAATTATTCAAACTTTACAAAATTTAACAACTATTTATATTTAAAGATCACTTAATAGCAACGAGTTCAATATTTCAAATGCAGCTAGAAACAGTAAGAAACCTTCACTCGGCAACACGCAGCACTTCAAAAAAACTTTCACGCAGTACCACTTAAAACTCTGGTGTTCGTTAAAAATTTAAAAGCTCCTTCAAGCTTGTGATCGACTATCAACTGTTATATTGTTACTGTAGTGCAATTGAGTTTAGTAAAATAATAAAAAGAACAGTAATGACAAACAACGACGATTATTAATTTAACATCCTGCAATGACAAAATTAGAACTGCTTACTTGATATTCTTCATTAGTTATTGAACCTTCGTGCCACGGAGGCTGAACTATCCGCACACGACGACCTACCTCTATGTGTGCACGCGTAAGCACCGCCTCACACGCGTATAGCGCTTGATAAGTCTTAGAATTTCAGACAGGCAGTATTTGAACCAGGACACCGCGCAATGACACTAACACACCGACCAACATTTACAATGTTACATTACATTCATTAATTACAAGACAACGTTTACGGTCAAAGAAGTTGCATAAGTTTTAAGAGAGAAATTAATAAATAATTGATGCCATAAAGTGAAAGTCCCGTTGAAAAATTTTAATAAATGTGATATTGTTGACAAAACATATGGCACATGATGCTGAATTAATTATGGCGTTATGGAACTCACCTTAAATTCCTCCCGAACGAACAGTAGAATGTACGAACAATTATTAAATAGAAAAATCGAGAGATAACTAACGAAAGCTACATTCAATAACATAGACTGTATACAAATATAATGTTTAAAATTTTGACATTTATTTTTTACATATTTAAATGGTATTTAGACCAATTAAAAACAAAAAGACAATGCCAATTAAATAACCATTTGCCACTGAGTTTAGCAGTGAGCTCCATGAACTGGTCGGCTGAAATCTCCATACGAACCTCGAGGACCAGCTGATGCTTCTGAACCATCTTGAGGCCAGGTGGTGGCGTCATTATGTTGCTCCAGCTTATCGTTTTCTGCTTTCCTTCTTCAACTTCAAAAGCGTGAATGGATTGGATGCTGGGTGTTTGGCTGTCAATTTTCAAGTTTTTGAACTCCAAGCTACCTGAAAAGTTTAAATACTTTGAAGTAGTCTATTCAGCTCCAGTGATCAATAAATTGAAAAAATTTATATACAACATAGATGGATTAACAAACGGTTATATTATTAATTAATATTAATTATGTTGATATATTTTTATTAAAGTTAACAAAATGTTAAACTATATGATTAACATTATTATTAATTGTTCATGCAAAAAGTTGTTAACTTGGTTGTTCTCAACTCACTCAGAAAATAAGGCTGCACATTGATGAGGAACGAGTCAATATTTCTTTTGACAATATCCGAAAAATTATTTACACCAAAAACAAACCTTTAAAAAGGATGAATAAACAAAATAATTTTAAGTAATTTTAATTTTAAAATTTACAAACCTTTAAAAAGGATGAATAAACAAAATAATTTTTTACATAATAATAATAATATACTATCAAATTAACAATTAATTAAATAAGCCAAAAATGATTTACCATCGGTTGATTAAAAAATTGAGCCATTCACAAGTTTCATTCTGCCTCAGAGCTCTCTTTCTATGTAGCAGAGTTTCTTGCTCCCAAATGAATCTCTCCGTCAGGTCCAACGCTCTTCTGTTCCAAACAAAGAGCGTCAGCAGTCCAATGATGAAAATCCAGAAGAGAGAGAATTGGAAATATCCAAGGAAAAACGAAAGCAAGAGCATTGACAAAATGAAAATATACAACATCATTTGATCATTTTGTCTTTTTTGTTTCAAATCTTTCAATCCGTCGTTGGTCTCGTGAAACGGAGAAGAAAGTGTATCCATGTTTGTTTGTTTGTTTGTTTGTTACTTATCAACGCTATTAAATTAACTGATAACAGTCCCACTGGTGATGTGTTGATTGCCCATTAAATAAGTCAACTGCCTACTCTATCTGTTTGCATATGTGTCTCTGCTGTATCGTTATTTGATTTATTATTAGTTTTATTATTGTTGTTGGAGTTTTCATCTAAATTTATTTGAGTCATTTTTGTTATATTTAAACTAAATTAATCAAATTGTTATTATTATTATTAATTTTAAATTTTCATTAAATTTTATTTACAATTACATAATTTATATACAAAATTTCAAAAATAATCAAAAATAGTTAACTAATTTCAACCGACCAACATCAAACTATCAAATAAATTAATTATCCAAAACATTGCTGCTTCAGTATATCTTAAGAAACCATTCAAACATTTCGAAAAGCCATTCTGTATGTAAATATCGGTTAAAACCTAAACATGATAGCAGTGCACGAGACATGGATGGATGGAAGGATTGAGTGGAGGTATTCAACTCGATTGCAGACACATTGTTGTGTTGTCGATCCCGGCGACAATTTATTTGTTATTTGTATACTTGCATATATGTATATATATATATATAAGTATATATTTATATATATATACTATATATATTAATTATATTTAATTAATTAATTAAATTTAATTAATTTAATTTAATTATAATTATAAAAAACTAATAAGAAAAATAGAAAATCTTAATAAAAAATTAAATAACAATAATATAAGCATTGCGTTTAATGAAATATGCTTAAATGAAAATTTGTTAGCGAAATTTACTGATATATATATATATATATATGTATTGTAAATATGTATGCTATATATATATACATATATATTATTTATATTATGAATATATATTATGTGCATGTGTGTGCGTGTGTGTGAAAGTTGATATACTTATACATTCTTACGTGCTTGCATACATGTGCGTATATTTATTTACTATTCTTTTTTATATCCACACGGAAACTATTAACATGAATTAGTGTATGCGCTCTTTTTGTAGTTCAACTATTATTCTCTCCATTCGATTCCGTTGCGTGCACGTTAATTATTCGGCGTTCTATCTAGTAAATTAGGACGTTTTTCTTCTTACGATTTGGCTTTGTTCATTTTCAGGATTTTAAAGGGTAACAAAGACGAATTCAATATTTATAATTGTGTTCACTCTGCTGAACAAATTTGTAATTTTACAATAATAAAATTAATAACACTAATAATAATAACAATAATAATGAAAATAACGATAATATTAGGAATTATATTATATCACCAGTTGATAATAATCAAGACAAGAGCTACACTTTCAAGTAGACATAATTCAAATGTGAAATGTGACTGCTATTAGAAGTTGTTTGTATAAAAGTGTGTGTGTGAGTGTGTGTGTATGTGCGTGTGTAAATGTGCGTGTGTTTCATCCGTTGTCCATGCAAACATTTAATACGAGCCTTTACTTAATTAAACTAAGTAACAACTTTAATTGAGATCAACTCTCTACAAGATTTGGTTTGGCACATTATACTCTCTATAAAAGACAATTTAAAATGCCAAAGAATTCGCATATAGCAGACAAGGGTGACCTAAGCCTCATCATCTGATGGTTATATTAATTTCGAATAATATTAATCATAGGTGTAATTAGACAATGGCGAATCTAGGGGGGGGGGCGAGTAATTGCTTCCACTGGTGAGCAATGTTTTTATTGAATTTCAGTGAAACTAATTTTTTAGAGAGGAAAATGCCGTTTTAAGAACAAATTTGGCCATAAATTGGCGAGATAAGCAAAAAAGGTAAGTTTCAAAATGTAAACAATTTTAAATTTTGGCACCCGTTTAAATCCACCATTGTAGTCAGAGGTAGGTTTGGGAGAGGACCCGTCAAAATAGCGCCAACAAAATGACGTAAAACGGCGCCAAAATTTCCGGACAAAATAGCGGTAACAAAATATCGCCGACATAATAACGAACGACAAAATTGTGCATTAAAACAAATTCAAAAATCATCACTTATCAAATGTCAATTTTATATTTTAAATTGTTATATTTAAATGCACTGAAACAAAATCATTAGATTAATTGTTGTTAATTATTATTTTTTAAACTTTGGAACATAATCGTAAAAATGGCATTTCAAAAACCATTAACCTAATCTATTGATTATAGTGGATATGTTATAATGGATTTTGGGATTTTGAAAAGGTTAGTGTTAGTGAGAATGCAATAAGCACCGTATCTCCAGCCCTTAAATTATATGGTTGTTTATTCTACCTTGGTCAATGCCTCGGGCGTAAAGTGCAAGAAGAAATCTCACTACTGCAACATGAAAACATACAATTATTTGTTTATTTGTAAAAATATTGCTAGCTCTTTCCTTTGTTCTACTGTTGCGTCAAGTCATCGCAACATTTGAAGAGCTAAGTGAAGCTTGTCCAGAAGTTGTTAAAAAGTGTACGAATACTTGGAAGATAAATGTACTGGTCGGGGTCATGAAAAACAAAATCGCCAAGTGACACCATGATTTCCACTGACATTTAGGAATGTTCGCGATCGCAAACTGGACAAACGTATAGCTATAACATGTTGCTAGCTCTTTCCTTTGTTCTACTGTTGCGTCAAGTCATCGCAACATTTGAAGAGCTAAGTGATTTCCACTGACATTTAGGAATGTTCGCGATCGCAAACTGGACAAACGTATAGCTATAACATATTGCTAGCTCTTTCCTTTGTTCTACTGTTGCGTCAAGTCATCGCAACATTTGAAGAGCTAAGTGATTTCCACTGACATTTAGGAATGTTCGCGATCGCAAACTGGACAAACGTCTAACAACAATATTGCCAACTTATTACTCCATATCACGAATGGAATATTTACGTCACATTGCATATAGTTTGACTTTTTAAAATATCTTACGAATTAGTTTAATAAAATAAAAGCGTTAATCATTTGGTTTTGCTATGTTTTATTCTTGTTTTTTTTTTAATTTATTTCAAAAAACTAGCTAATATCAAATGAACTTGTTAAGATTTACGTTTTGCAAACCTATTCATAAAAAAATAATCTTTTCTTCAAAATTTCACCAACAATGCTATGTTGCGCTCTTTCGTCGGTTTTTTGTTTTTTACGTTATTTTGTCGTGCGCGATTTTTTCGGTGCGGTTTTGACGGCGCCATTTTGTCGGGTGTCAACAGCTCCTTGGCAACAATTCTCTCAATCACCTTTGAAATAAACGATATATAATCGGTGACTTTAATATTAACATAGCTATAAACAATTCCGCCACGCGTGGCAGGCTTTGATTTACATCCTTTAATGTTTAATCAATAGACCTACTAGAAACACAGGTACGTGTTCTTCTGTCATTGACAACATTTTCTCAAATGACTATAATAATTTTTTAAAAGGCATCATCTGCGAAGAAAAAGCTGATCATTTGCCTATTTTTGTTTGTATGCCGTTAAGAAACGAGTCGATATCTAATAAACGTCCCTTCATATGAACCAGACTTAACTAAACAAATTAATCTGGAAATGGCTAATCGGATGGTTGCCGACGTCCGATGGCCTGAATAATTTGAGGAAATTAACAATAAAATAGAACAGCAGTCACGGAAGACAGAAGAAATAAAAAAGGAACTCGACAGAATCGAGTTACAGACAACAACGCTAAACGAAAGAGTCGACGAACTGGAAAGAAGACACAAACAAGAATTAGACAAAATATCTCAAGAGCTGGCAGATAAAAACAAAAACGGGACACCCAATCACGTATCTGCAAAAACGCTGAAAGCGCCGACATTCGATGGCATAATCCCTTGGGAAAGCTATCGAACCCAGTTTGAGGCAGCGGCACTTAGTTATTCATGAGACGACAAAGAACGGGCCACCGCATTGGTACTAACACTTCGAGGATCGGCACTGGAGGTGCTGCAAGCAATACCAGCCAAGGACAAGGACAATTTCGAGTCGTTAACAGCTGCACTGACACGACGTTTTGGCAATAGCTACACAGAAGATTTTTTTTCGACGCAACTAGAGCACCGAGTTCAGAAATCCGGGGAGACTGCACAACAACTGGCCCAGGACGTAGAAAGGTTGACGCTGTTAGCTTACCCGACCGAAACCCCAGAATTCAGGGACAAGCTAGCGGCCAAAGCATTCATCCAAGCAATACGGAACCCAGAGATCAAATACGAGTTGGCGATCTCAAAAGAGGAGACCCTACAAGGTACCTTTAAAAGATATACGACGCTGAAATCGGCAAAAATGATGCTGAGAAAGGACTCAATGAATAAGGCAAATTCATGAGGAAGTGGATTGTCAAAAGATGGAAACGGCCCCGGGTACCTGCTCCACTCTGAAGTGTTGGAACTGTGGAAAAAATGGCACATTCGAAGATATTGTCAACAACTACAGAAAAAGGGCAATTTTGGAGGCAATAAAGGAAGCAAAAGCAAAAATGAACCAGCCGATAAAGCGCCGACGGCCAAAACGTCGAAAAACTAGAGGAGCCGGCCTTGCGGAGCACAGACTGGCTATAAAAACACAAGTCCTCAAAAACAGAATAATCACCGTAAGAAGGCTGCACCGCAAAGGAAACAACCACGGCCGACGGAACAAAATATACGATGCAGACAATAATACCCCGAAGCAAGACAGACGACGTTATTAAAAAAATGCATAAAGGGCTGACTGGAGGACATCTGGGAATCATTAAAACCTTGGACCGATAGGGACAAAGTTCTATTGGGTTCGCGCACGACAAGACGTGAAAGCATGGTGCAGGCATTGCACCACCTGTGCTGCGGTTAAAGGACCCAAAAACAAAGCCAGAAGCCCGTTCCAAGTTTACAACGTGGGAGCACTATTTGAACGGATTGCAGTGGACATTGCAGGCCTCTACCCAGTATCAGAGAATGGTAACCGATATACGCTCGTCATAGCAGATTATTTCAGCAAGTGGCCAGCAGTCTATCCGATACCCAACTAGGAGGCCCAGACGATAGCGAAAGAAATCATAGCTAACTGGGTTACTCAATTCGGGGTTCATTTAGAACTACATTCGGACCAAGGTAGGAACTTTGAATTCCAGATAGTGGGAGAAATGTGCCGGATCCTTGAATTTAACAAAACAAGAACGACACCACTTCACCCACAATCTGACGGGATGGTTGAACGGTTCAACCAGACCATCATACAGCATTTAGCCAAAGTAGTCGACGACAACCAACGGGATTGGGACAAGCACACCCCCTTGTTTCTAATGGCATACCGAAGTGTCGTTCACGCCACGACCAACGAGACTCTCAAAGATTCTATTCGGGGACACCATACGGACACCTGCAGACATCAAGTACAGTATTTCCCTCTAGACCCGCTGCCAGTAACCAAGTACGTGGAAGAACACTGCAAACAGATGGATTACATCCACAGGAATGCATAGACTAAGATAAAGCAAAATACGGAAAAGGTTTTGGAGAGGTACAACGTCAAAGGGGAGAAAGCCGGATTCCAAAGTGACAACTTGGTATGGCTATACAACCCGAAACGCAAAAAGGGGCGCTGTCCGAAGTTTCAGAAGTATTGGGAAGGACCGTACAGGATCATCACCAAAATCAACGATGTGGTGTACCGAATCTAAGAACACGGTAAACCTCGAGCAAAGCTGAAAATCGTACACCTGAATCGGTTGGCTCCTTACAAGGCGACCCAGAAACAGCAGAATAAAAAGATTATCACGTATAGGAACGACCTGTTTGGGGACCAAACAGTTTAAGGGGAGGATAATGTGATAATCCGAGCAAAGTGCCTGGGGTCGACATTAAAGTTGGTAAATTAAGATGGCGGACGAAAGACCGGAAAATAATAAAACAAAGACAATACAGCAAACAATAGAGCAAAGAAAAAAAATAGGTCGACGATATCCAGGCATTGTTTATCAGTTTATAAATTATTTGCGCTCGTAAATTAATTAATATTTGGACAGGTATTCAGATTCCTGTACGAACAAGAAATTGGCTCTCGGAATTAGACAAGGCGATTCGACGACTTCTCCGATTTCAGTGATAGCTCTTATCCGATATTCTACCATTCCTTCAAAGAATCGATCTACAGTGTCAAAGGTTGATATAGCGTATAGAGAAGATTTGTCATCGATTGCAAAGAGAACAAGAAAAATTAACGTCTGATTACTGTTGTTCATTGTACAATAAAAGCTGTTCCCGTTCTAAAAAGGTCTCTTAGAAATTGTGAACTCGCGCGATACGATAGCATACGAATTAGAGGTGCAGGTCGTAACACTATTATACTGCCTTACCGCTCTCTACATTATTCAATAAATCTATAAGAATTGGAACCTTTCCCAATAAAGTTAAAACAGCCAAAGTCTTATCCATCTTCAAAAGTGGTGACCCGAAATTCTTTGAAAATTATAGACCCATTTCCTTATTACATATATTTTCAAAATTTAGAAAAACTCATGTTAATAAGAATGTGGAAGTTTTTAATTAAATGAAAGTCAATATGGTTTTATACCTAAAACATCACCAGAAAGAGCAATTGCAGATTTGTATCGATGACTGCTAAACAAATTTTAGTCCAAACTGTTTACGTTAAGAATTTTTGTTGACTTAAAAAAGGCTTTTGATGTTATTTACCATGAAATCCTGGTATCAAAATTGCCTAATTACGGATTCATGGGCATTTCTTTGGAATAGTTTGGACTATATTATTTGTATCTGTTGAAAGTGTTGAATCGTCATTGTCCGTTATCAAAACTGGATTTTCCACAAGTGTCGATTTTAGGTCCATTGTTGTTTATACAGTTCGTGAATGATATTTTTTTTGCTGACTGATCGTTGTATAACGGTACATTTTTGCTGGTAACACCGATATATTGTTATCATCCGGTAATGATCCGGTGGCTTTGTTTTGCGAAATGAACGAACATCTTATTAAATATTATGATTACTTAAAATAAATAAATTGGTTTTAAATCTAAAAAAATCTTATTATATAATATTTGGCCATAAAATAAAAACTATAAATAAAGCATTTATAAATTTACCTCTGATAATTGGTGACACCATTTTGCCTCGGGTTAGCGTTAGGTCAACGAAATTTCTTGGAATTGTTATCCTGAGTAACTTAAATTGGACACTACACTACATATACATACGATAGTTAATAAATTCTTGGCAGTTATTGGCATTATGTAAAAACTACGCGACAAATTAACTTCAAACACAATAATACTGCAAAAGTACAGCCTTTTTTACCCTTACTTTATATATGGCAACTTATTTTGGAGATCAACTGTTGAATATTTAACCTCATCAACAAAACAGAAAGGTATGCTCTGCCCTGTTTAAAGTCGGACTGTGACAAATGATAGGAATTGGTTAGCTAGATGAATTAAGCTGTGGGATAAAATTGTCAGTGTTGAAGTCAGAGATATGCCAATTAATTCTTTTAAAAATTTTGTTAAAGAAAGTATGCTTAAAAATATTGTCGAGTTTGACTGAATTTTGGTATTAGGTGCCTTTGACTTTGAACTTTTTTTATTAGTTTAAATTTGAATTTTGATTTGATTTTTTTAATTAAAAAGCAGTTTTAATTTTATTTGTATAAGCTGTTATTCTGTTTATAAATTGCATATTTGTTTATTGCTAATATTGACAAATTATTGAACTTTTGCATTTAGTTAAGGTAATCAGCAAAAGTTTTTTTATAAACTTCTTGATTGCTTATGATGTCAATAAAAAATGTTGAATACAAATTTTAAAATGAACTGAACTGCTGTGTTATTAAAAAATAACTGTTTTTTGAGATTTAAATACATGCAATTGATAACTAAATGAAAATGTTGGTACAATAAAAACTAATAATTCACATAATACTTGATCATGTTAATTCTCAATAAGAGAAGCAGGTTCAAACAAGAAATTTTTCTTACAATTTCCATTTTACTTGCAATAAAAATCAGAAAAGTAAAAAAATAAAATACACATGTTACATGTTACATAAATTTGTAAGATAGGATAGAAATGTTTTCAAGTGGTTTGGGAGCATGGCAAAAACATTTGGAAACACTGATCTCTGATATGTTTGATTTACATCCAACGAATGATCATTGAAATGAGTCTGATCACATTCAGTTTTTTTAAATAGAGTTTTCAAGTTTTATGTCGCTTAGAAGTCTAAATACGTCACTCAAAAAAAGTTATTTTCATCAGCTTCATCAACTCTTCAGCATTGCTTTTTGGTTGTACGTTTCGGCATAAACGAAAACTACAGATAATATCTGTCGGAATTTTGCTTACGCTTATTTATTTACTTGAAAAAATGAAATCAACATGCAGGCAGTTTGTTGCCAGTAACTGCTTGATGAGTAGTAACTCTTATTGATATGTAACTCTTGTTGATCATGTTGATCATGTAACATGTTCTTAAGCACAAAGAAGCACACCAAAAAGCTAGCTTTGTAGAGTGCATACGTTCGATATATCCAATTTATGCGTGGTATTTTTGCTCTGACAAATCTGCAAATTGCAGAAATGTTTTTTAAAAACTTGATCAGTCTGATGCTTCTTAGCCGCCATGTTTCGCACTAAATTTAAAACATTTCAATACATTTCAAACGAGTTTTCTGGTGTTTGCGAATTTGTTTTCATTGAATTGATAGTTTTTAACTTTTTAATGTATGATATTTTTAACTTGTTTACATAATGTCAACTGCTAAATCATTATCTCTAAAACAAATTTAATTTAAATTTACATTTAGTGTGAAAACTCCCATTATTAAGCCGTCGAAGCATATTTTCTCTACTATGAGTCGTACCAGTTCACGATTTATAAAATCTTCAGTTGAATTGAGCACCTTAAAAATACGTCAATCGTTTTAAATCCAATATTATATATCAATATCCAACATGAGCATGATGAAAAAGTTTAACATGTAAAATGGATGAACAGATTATTCATTTTGTACTAGAAACATTTGCTGCCCTGACTGCAATCAAAAAATTGCACAATACACACACACACACACACACACACACACACACACACACACACACACACACACACACACACACACACACACACACACACACATATATATATATATATATATACATACATACATAATTTTTTCAAAAATTAGGATATAATACATAAAAAATAAAAATTGGTTTGCCCTTTCTTAAAAAAGTTTATAAGAAGATAAACATGTGAACACACGTGACTGATACATAGAATACTGAGCACAAAGCAAGTATTTAATAAGCGCCTCTGAAGAACATATCAGTAAAAGCGCTTCACCAATCTACCGCGCAAAACATTTCAAACACACCTTATAGAAAAAATGTATTAATGCTAAGAAAGAAACGTGAAATCTATAGAAACAACTATAAAGGAGGTCAATCATATTTAAACAGATGCGCAATAAAAAAAACCGAGCTAGTAATTATATTCAAGGCAAACAAACTTCATTCGCTCTTTCGCTAAAGTTTAAAATCTCAAATATTACAATAATTGCAATAAATTTGCAAAAGATAGGTCAAACTGTTGTTTCGGTAAGGCACGATTCCTTCAGAAAGTCTCTGTTATATATCGTCGAAACGTCATTGTAATAAACAGTTTCATATTTTCTTATCCATGTGTTATATTCCGCTGTCATCGAGTTTCTGATTTCAATGTTGCCATCGTACTGCATGCTATGTACCGTGCGATGAGCACGGGCAGCATTGTTTATTTGATCGTCAGCAATGAAACATTCGTCGTCGTGCTGATGAGATTCTACTACTTTTGTGCAGACCTTCGACCATTCAGAGGAAGAAAAAATTGAGTTTAATGATTCATAACCAACTTCACTATGACATTTTCCATCAACATGATTAGCGCACATTTTATTTTGAACCCCATTGATAGGATCATCAAAAACATCAGTGTTGTAATATGGAAAACTGGAACTGTGTTGTAGATTATGGGCAGATGTGGATGTGTAACTTGAACTTAAATTTATCGAAGACTTGAAGTTGAACTTTGTGTTTGAATACTCGTGTGAGCGAAGTTGAATTCGGAAATTTGGCTGTTTGATTATAACCTGGCGTAGTTCATTTTGTTGTTCCTGCTCGTGTTGGTGATCTGGATGATTGCCGCGAACAGGAACATCATCGTCATCCTCCTCCTGCGTGCTCGGTTTCATTGATCTGTAGCCCTCATCAAGATTCACGAGTTCCTGAAGGTTCCCTTCCGGCTTGTTGAAGTTTCAAATTAATTATTTTATAAATATATTACAATAAATATAAATAACTCGAAACATTCAAGAAATATCAATTTTCTAAAAAATATTTGCTAAAGACCAACCGGCAATGAAATATATTCTTGTGGATTCTGATGCATCTCACTCAATCGCTGCCGCAACGTCAAAAATGTTGGTCGTTCAGACGGGTCTATTAACCAGCCTTGTTTTAATTTTAACAGAATCAACTTAAAATAATGTAGGTAATACCAATTTATTTAATTTAGCGTCTTATGCGTGTGATCAGAAATTAAAACATTGTAGCCACTAACATGTCAGTAGAAGCAAATACAACTGAATCCCACAAACATCGGGTTTCTTCAATCTTTCACCTTTCATAAGCGCTGAAAACAAGTCGTTGACGTTAATGTTGTCGTACGGACGTTCGCCAAATGTCAACAGTTCCCAGATTGTTACTCCTGCGTACATGTCAAATATTGGTTACAAAAACTACTTGCCTGATTGGTGGATATCAAATAAAATTGTTAAAACTCAGAAACTGACCATAACTCCAAACGTCACTTTGGTGGGTAAATTTCTGTAGCGATATGCTTTCGAAGGCAAGCCATTTGATCGGCATCTGCGTAATTTATTTTAAGTAGACCAATATTTTTGATGGTTAAACCATTATGTGAATGTGACTAAATTAGAATTAAGATTAAATTAATTTTTTTCTGTTTGAATGTTATAGAGCTATAACAAACATTTATAGAGAGTTTTGCTACCATTTAATCTAGATTTTTAATAAATTATAATCTATCATGTAAAGTTTTAAAAGTTGATTTGTGTATGTGAATAATTAGGTGAAGTATTTTCTGCACAAGCAATTGTACAGTCTAGAGAACAGGTTGTACAACCCAACAGACAACGTACTGGCTGGCAAATAGTACTGCGTGCTCTTCATTAGGCGTGTTTGTGAATTTGCATGCAGAACATCTGAAAGATTCAGAAAAACCCACCATAAAACCACTTTGCGTACGACAGTTGTGGTATTGTGATCAATTGCTAGAAACTTAAATAATTTCTAAAATAAAATTAACTTCTAAAAATCAATAACAATAAATTACTCTTCCTGGACGTTATTTCAATTTCGTCTACAAAAAAATGTTCTCCAAATTTGGAGTGACTGCATTGAATTATACCTGACTAATACAATTGCATCTATTGTAAATCGATTTTTCATCTATTTACCAAACTTTAAAAATCAAAAGTTGAGCACCAAAAGTTACCAATCTAATGAAAAATTACAAATAGACAAAATAACAAGACAAAAAACATATCAATATGTTAAAATATCTTGTAAATAGACGCATCAGCAGTTTTAGCAGAGAAAACCTTTTAAAATCTTTTTTCCAATTTTTAAACTACGTTTTTATATATTCCAACTTTATCTTCATGGCTTTCCTGATCATTTTCTTCAAATGATCAAGTCAGTTTCGGTAAAATAAGGCATGCGAAAAAGACAAAATGGCTTTGAATTCTCCACTAAGAGCTAGAGTTAAAGCTCTCTTGATTTTTATTTCTTGAAAAAATAAAAAATAAAATAAAAATATTTTTTCAACTTGAAGACGTCATAAAAGGCAACAAAAAATTGCGTTGAGCTTTTGGGGCGTGAAAAATGTGTACACGTAAATGTGACTAAGCTAACTCGGAGTTGTTTTTGAATGGATTTTTTGGAGTTGGCTTTGATTTAAAGCTCTTTTTGCAGTTATTAGTTGAAATGATACTAATATCAGACTGCCAAAATAATAAATTTTGAAAAATCACCATACTTTTATATGACTTTTTAACTGTTGATGAGACGTTTTGTTCAAATCATCCATTAGTTTAGCCAATCCAAAATCTGTTATCTTCACTAGTTTCATCGACTGAACTACAGAAATTTGTAAAAATTTGTTGAGTCGCATGACAAAGTTGTTTAAAAATGTAAGTAAATCATTTCTTTGCCAAATTTTGTTTTAAAAACTGGAAGTAAATTGTTTATAAATTTTTATAAATTTTTAGAAGATTATTAAGAACAGAATAAAAATCATCTACAAATATAAAACTTAATTAATTAAAATCATAAATTAACTAATACTATAAATTATCTCAAATTAATTTATAACGTGAATTATAATTAATAACAAAAATTAATTAAAATATATAGTTTGCAGAAAAAGTTGTCACGATTAAAAAAATTTCCAAGGTATTTACACGTCAGTCATAGTTTTCAAACAATATTCAGACGAATAATCTTTTACCTAGTACGTTCCTGGCGGCCAGATCTCTGTGAACAATACCTTTTTCTGACAAATACAACATTCCCTATTTAACAAAAAATAGTTTGTTGCCCATAATAGCTTAGCAATTACAATTTAAAATAAATTTTGTTAACAAAATAAAAACTTATCCTGGAAACATTTGATTAACAATTCAATTTCAAGAAAGTATTCTATTCTAGGTTATCTGAAAAAAGAACTTGCTCAAACTTGGATATTGACAAAATTGAGTTTTTTAGGAATTAGAATAAATGAAAAATAAAATTTGGATAACGCTGCTAGTCAGCGGGACTTGGCAGAAACAGTGCTAAAGAAAAATTCTAAAAAAATGGTTTTATAATGTAAAAAAGAATGATGTGGCGGATTTAGGAAGGGCCGGGAGAACACTGCCGACCGTTATGTAAGTTTTTTTTAATAAAAGTCAGAAATAAGATCGTTTAATGTATAAAATCTACCAAAAAAAACAAAAAAAGGTCGTCAGCAACACCATCACAAATTTTGGTCCCGTCAAAATTAAAACATTTTCGAAATTCCCCCCCCGTCAAAAGTTGTCTAGATCCGCCACTGGGTATGATAAAAATTCATGAAGAGCAATTTGTGCCTGAGAAAGACAAACTAATTTTAAAGTAATTGATGATGGTTGCAGTTCCACGTTTTATGTCGTGGTTATTGCACATTAGGCAGATGTGGCCTCTCAAAGTCTACATTACTTCTTGTGAGTATTTCATGGAGATCACACAAAGAATAGATTTTTAAGTGTGGATTCGTAACATTTTTAGCCGAAACGCTTAGTAGCGTTTGCAAAAGCTGCACAATGAACAAGAAAAATAACCCATAAAATTAAGTTAACCATCAAACGAATAGGGTTTTTTAAACACCATGTTATATTTTACTGCACTCCCTAAATACTCAACAATATTCATGCTTGAGATTGCTTATTTGCATAACAAACTAAGACAAATTTGCATTTTTTTCAATCATTTTATATGAAAGTTTTTTTTTCAAATTTACGCTTTGGTCAAAATTTTATTTTTTGTAATGTCTAAACTTGCAAAGTTTTTCTCAACATTTACATAAAATTCTTTAAAATTCTTTTGATATTCGATTAACAAATTTACAATAATTACAACTCATGTTATTTTTTACTTGTACAATGCCACATGTTATTGATATTACTTTTGCGATGTTTTTAAAATAGGTCGTCATGAGCTATATAAGGTACTTTAACTTCTTGCTCTAATTATTGCATTTGTGATTATGAAAATATTTTTCACATCTATGAACGTGGACTGACACTGGAGTGAATGAATGATGTTTCTATTTATTCAAACCAAAGAGAATGTAGTGAAGAAATGTGACACTCTTAAAATAAAAATATGAAACAAAGAAATTGCTTTGACTTGCTTGGGACTATTAAATTTATGGAGCCATAATTGAACCTGCTTTCCATTTGTAACATTTTTCATAAATGTCACAGAGCACGTTGCAAAAGATAAACTTGCAATTCCTATGGTGATTTTGGAAGCACTAATTTGAAAAATAGTTGAGCAGATGTAAGTTAAAAAAAATTTAATTTAACAGAAATGGTCTAACGATAAAAACAATTTCCAATTTTTATAACAAAATGAACCGTTGCTATTTGCAGGGACCACAGGATGAGATCGGCAGACCCAATGCAATCCTTGTGCTTCCTGACGAAGTCTAACATGCAGCCGTACCTGACTAGATCCGTGACGAGCATGATGTGGGGTGACAAACAGACGCACAAAATGTGCATGCAATATTCGTTCTTGACTGAAGCCATGATGCGAGCTTCGTCCAACAACTCCTTGCCACCGCTTCTAACGTGGTGCTCAATCAATACTTTTATAGCGACTGGAATCTTAACATTATAGTTTTCTGGAGACCATACACCCTAAAATTGGTTAAAATAGAAAGCTCCTCTTATATTTATTCATGTATTGTAATTACATATCTTGAAAAGCAAAAATTAATTTCAATTTAAAGACCTGATAAACTGTTCCAAATGCTCCAGAACCAATAACACCACCAATACTTAGTTCGGATTGTCTGATGAACCTGACTGTGGACATGTCTGGTTGAATGTGAGACGGAGCCAAGGGCTGGTCCAATTTAATTTATGAAAGTTGTTACCGCGCAATATTTTGATTATATTTTTTATTTGGCAGTTTTAAAATGTGAAATCTAAGGTTACTTTTGTGAACACGATGTTAAAAATGGAATAAAAGAGCGACCCACCACCATCTCAATTGCGCATTTCCCAATCTGTTCCTTTTGTAATTTTTTCATTTTTGTTCTCTGCCTTATAACCATCATCGCTATGACCATCATAACAGACAGAAGCAATATGAACACAATTGCCGTCAGACACTTTTCTCTCCAACTGCAGAACAGAATAGTTTGAATGCAGACAAATCGAAATGAATCTATTTGGTAGATGAAAATGTTTTAAAATTTTGAAAAACCTGAACGTATGTGAATCCAGGTGGATGTATTTGGAGCAGACTGCTTCCAAAACGTCATCGTTCATCTCCACAATCGTTTTGTCTCTGTCACGACTTTTGTTGAATTCGTTATTTTCGTTGCTTCCTACTCTTCTTGTGGTTTTGTGTGGACTCCAGAAAGGACAGTCCTCGACGCACGTGAACTACGACATTTAAAATTATGTTTGCAGGATTATTTTTAACAAATTTTTCATTAATGATAAATTATTAGTTGATTAATATGATGCCATTTCCTCATAACAACAGAACAACATTCGTTTAATTATGCTGGCAGAGTAAACGAGCAGAACTGGAACTAACTGGTCCATCGAAATCCTCGTCATCTTCTCCATTGAGCATTAACTTGTAGTGCTTGCATCTCGTGCAATTGTCAGAACTTCCATAGCATTCAAGACATTTAGATTCGCATTTCGTACACTTGAGTGCGGATTTAATCAGCTCGTTAAATGATGTTGAATACGAATTGGACTCTAAAGCATTTTTTAATTCGGTCGTAGTTGGCGCCAAAACAGATGTTTTCGTAGGAGACGATGGTTCAATGAAATAATCTTGTGAACATAGCGCCACACATTTTCCGTCTTGCACGTAATGTCTGCATTCAGTGCACATGGAGGCACCTGGTCCTGAACATTCGATACACATCGGATGGCATTTCACGCAGGCCTGATGTTTTCATTGGGACCACGTATATTAAAACATTTTAATTTTTGCTGAGTGATTGTTTTAAAAAAACATTAATAAATATTTCAAAACGATTACGAACATGAAAGGATTAAATTTAAAAATTCAGCCCACATGCTCAGGTCGCTTGTAGCTTGCCAACCAAATAAAATCGTGAAAACGTTTTTATAAAATTATATAAAACTATATAATTATAACACACATACATACACCTACACAAACACAAACATTAATACATAAATTTATACTAACATAATAAATACATAAAATTTGTGTAAAATTTACATATATATGAAAGATTTATTTAAAAAACAATTATAGGTAAGATTGATTTGAAAATTAAAGACATGGTGAGGTGTGAGGTCATAAAATGAAATTTAAAAAACCAACAGGCAGCGACAAATGCGACGATGCTTTTGACTTGAAACTTCTATCAGGATTGCTGGAATGATTGGAAGGACTGACGTGGATGAATGTTTTGAAGTATCCTGACGGGCATTGAGAATCGAGTGACATGCATGTGTAGCTGCTGGCTCTGTCAATGGCATGATGATGGAAATTATACGACTTGAACAATTTATTAAATAATTTTATTTTTGTCTTATTTTAAAAATTATGAATAAACTAAAAAATTTACAGAACCGTAGCTCCTACCTCTTCAAGGGAGATGTTTTTGTGTAAATGTTTCTACGGTTGATGTCGTCATGGTTGTCAGCCAAAATCTGCTGACATAAGTTGCACCCCTCTCCACTCATAGAACTTGTCGGACCTTCAAAAGACGCAGTGCAATATATTAACGTGAGGACTTTGAAAACAATTGGATATTTAAAAGTAAATAAAAGCACTGAGTTATTTTTATCTCTTTGCTAGCTCTCTGCAATGCGATCACGTCAAATGTTTCCCCTAATTGTCATATCTTGACTAACCCATGCATCCGAATTCGATGTCGCAGTTTTGGTGGCAGCGCTGACAAACTCCCCTGACATCTGGATATTTGGAGGGAGGGCAGGACGCAACACAGTACGGTCCGTCTTTAAACGACAGACAACTCGTGCATTCATCATTCGACTGCGTGATGTTTTCAAGTTATTTTTCATTCAATATTACAAATTCCATCAATCAGTTCATTTTCCCATCACATTGATCAATTAGTTAAATATTATTAACAGAATTAACGCTTTATACAAACTTGTACTTGATCATATTCAATGAAAAATTATTGCAAAAAATACCATAAATGCAAATCAGCAAGTTGCAAATGTTCCAAATTGCATTTTTCAACGGAAGCAATAAAAAATAAACGAACCGATCCGCTGCAACCGTCCTTGCACTGAAGATGGCATCTGTTGCAGAGTTGTGGCGCAGACTGGTACAAAAGAGGTTCCTGCTGACACGACGTCAAACATCGCCTGTGGTTCAGCGACACGAACCTGCAGGAGAGGCATTGATGATCGCCGGCGTCCCAGCAGCCATCGTCGCTGCATTTCTTGCTGCACACGTGCCCATTCAGATCTTCAGTTTGATGTGTATGTTAGTTTTAACGCGTTCGAATAATTAACAACAATAATGATGGTTGGGAATGAACTAATAACAATTCAAAATTTTATGAAATTCACTTTGAAGTTTTTTTTAGAAGTTTTAAAACAAATAAAATAAAACAAATTAGATTTCATGAATATTTTTATTGATTTAAAAATAACAATAATAAAGCGCAACACTGTTGCGAGTCAGTCTAACCACATAACTGCTGGGCTGCGTTGTTCGTGACGATAACATGCTGCTGGGACGGATGAGAGAGAAGACGAGTCCAGTTGAGACCATCCGCGAGACACAACTT